TAACAGGAACCTCGGTGGGAGAGAGGGGTTTGAGGACGGATCGGGAATTTGCATACGGGCTGGGGGGACATGGGGAAGGTGATAAATGGAAGGGCATATGGGGAGAACGGGGACTCTTCTTCTAGCCTCGCAGCACAGATCCCTCCTTAGATACCGGATCCAGAGCATGAGCTATGTGGAGGGGAACGCGATCATATGCAGGTAAAATTAGCCATTCCAAACCACGGGCAGAGGTGCGGGGCGGCGAAAATTCTCCTTTTAAAATTTTACCAAATTGCGCTCGGATTTCACTAAAAATAGAGCGGTTGGAATTATACATTTTGGTCTCAAAAGATGCGCAACTTTTCGTAGAACATTTTAATCTATTTGATCTTTCAATGTTTCTACGAAACTTTCGAGATAATCGTCATTTTTAGTAAAATTGGGGGGATTTTTCCGCTTAGAGAGTGCGAATTACACCGCCCGGTGGCCAGTTCCGCGTGGATAGGAGCGCCGCGTACCGATTTTCCTATCCGTGGCTTTTGATTGAAAAAAAAGAAAATAAAAATAGCCGTCGATGCTGTTGGATTGTTGCATTGTTTCCGGGGATGGGCACGGACCCTCCAGTGTCCCTCTAGTCCTCTAGTCCGGAGGTCTCCATTCAGACCGTTCAAGTGCCCCAAAACCGGTGTCTGCCCCCTCCCCATTCACCAACAACGAACCCACCATTACCCGCTACCCGGTTAGGTGGGCTAATCCGGTAAATGGATGGCGAACGGCTGACAGGAGGCTGAGCTACGCCGGTCGTTCTCGACTTTCCGTTACGTCTACGTCAATAGTAAGAAATACGGTTTTGGACTGTTAGCAGGGGCACCACGTTCTTTATTCCACCTTTTAGGTATTTTTATAGTGATTTTAGTAGTTTTTGATTGCCAGAAAGTTGTGAAAAAAAAATTTTTTAATTTTTGAAATTCGAAACTTTGGACTTTTTTAGTTATTTTTCATAAATTTTTCACCAAAAAGTAAAAAATTCAAACTTTATTTAATTATTTTTTATATTTAAATTTATATTTATAAAAATAAAAAAAATATTAAAATAATAAAAAAATAAAAACTATGTAAAATGCTATAAAAATGGTTTTGTATTTTGTTATAGGGCCGTAGAGAATCACAGGGGAAATTTTGGTCGCCCCCCGCTAACGGTCCAGAACCAGAAATACTAGAAAAATTGGGGGTAGCAGAAAAGCAGAAAATGTCATTGGCGGGTTGGAGGGCCCGACAGGGGGCCATTGCTGCGTCTAATGAATGTCAGACGGGCCCCCATCCACACCGAATAGCCTGCCCAATAAAGAGCTACGAGAAGCTTTTCTCTACTAAAACATCCGAATGAAAAAAACAATCGGTAGGATATTATTTGCGATCATGACGTCGAAATTCAGGATGCCGATTTTTTTTGGCTTAGGATTTGGGGGTTTTACTAAGAATATTAGCTTATGTCAATTTCGCCATTATGAATTTCGAAATTTTGAAAATAAGCCGTAGGATATATGTTTGAGTGAAACGAAACGTGGTGGGGATATGTTGTGGGCACGGGTTGAGGGTGGAGAATGCGAACAAAAACAGAAACATCTGGCCGCCGGGGTTGCTGTCTAGGAGCCCTCCTACACCCAACTCTGCCACCATCAAAACGCAAAAACGATTCGATGAGGAGGGACCGCGGGGGCACATATCCCCCTCAACCCCCCCCGCCTTCCGGCCACGCAGCTCGAAGGTGTAAAGTGTTAGGTTAGACGGCCGAATATCTTTGTTTAAAGTTGTCAAAAATTCTATTTTGTAGCAGCTACGGAACCGTTACAAAACAACTCTACAGCATGCCAACAAACCACCCCCAAAATTAGCGGCAATAAGGCCCTAAGCAACGCGGCACTCCTATCGACTCAAAAATATATCGAGGCGTAAACTTCTAAGCCCTATAACTTTAAAACTAAAGCAAATCTTGAAAAAAGCTTGTTCCAATTGGATAGAATGAAACACGGCGATTCTCATGATACCAAGCATCAAGAAAACGGAATTCGAAAAGTACCAAAAGTAGGCGGTTTTGGTTGGCGACTTTGTGAAAAGTGGTATTTCGGAGGGCTAACTTGCTCTCTTTGGTATCATTCGAACCTTAAAATGCTACCTTTAATAGTAAATCAATTTTAACAAGTTATAAGGGCTTAAACTTTTTGGCGCGCGCTACGCCCGGCTCCTATGGACGCTTTTGCCCCTACGGCAAATGCCGTCTTTGGCCTGTTTGTTGGCCGTGAAACACACAACTACGGTCATTAAAGTGTAAAGTGGGCAATGCGCACAGCTGGGGGGCTTGAGCAGCGTCGATTCGCATTGGACCCAAATAAACGCTTGGTCCTGAACGGAGCGAAAACTGCAATCAGAATGTCTGGCGGGGCTAATGATTAATTTTTTTATTTTCTTTTTTTTTAAAATTTTTTTTTAAAAAAATTCCGCACACAAATTTTTTTTTGGGCCCCCCCGCGGGGAAAAATTTTTGCCCGAGGGGAAAAAAAAGCGGCCAAATGCCGAGCGGGGGTTTTTTTGGGACACCCTGTATATAAGCACACAAAATGGCTACAACGGCAAATCGCCGTGACGGAAGGCCGTAACCAATAAATAAATACTAAAAGGGTTGGGGGAAGGCTGAACGGGGTGGTGGCTGGGGTGAACCCACTTTTAGTCCGGGGGATATGGGTGAGGGGGAGAGTAATTATGCACGCGCACGCGCTGAAGTGCCGCCGGGGGGAGAGGGGGGGGGGGGCACCAACCAGAAGCAAGAGAATGAGGAGGAGGAGGACAAACCGGGGGGTGCTGCTTCAGCGAGTTAGGGTAAGTGGAACCGATCGGTAAATGATGGTTTCAACGATTAATAGTGGAATCTGGATTGTTGCAAAAATCTTTCTGAAATCTCGGCTACGGTATACTTCCCCCCCCACCCGAGGGTCCCAAAGTCTTCGATATTTCCGCTATTTTGTCGGCATTTTTTGACGCCAAAGGATAGAGCATCGAAAAATAAACCTAGAATTTTTATCACAGCTCAAAATATTGTAATATTAAATAGTTATAGCAAAAAAAAAACAAAAATAACCTCTAAAAATGGGGTTAAAAGAACAGTTTTCGATATTTTCGCTATTTTCGACATTTTCGATACGCCATTCGATAGAGCATTGAAAATTATACTAAGCTTTTTAATTTTAACCAAAAATAATGTAGTATAAAATAATTACAGCAAAAACAAGATTCCGTCTCGGTTTCCCTAGAGGCACAGGAGGTGCAAAGCTAGTTTTCGACATTTTCGACATTTTTACAAAATTGCTTTAACGGGATTCGATAGAGCGTCAAAAATATACGTAGATTTTTAATTGCAACCTAAAATACTGTAAAATAAAATAGTTATGGCAAACACAAGGAAAATCTGAATAACCGCTCAAAAACTATTTTAATTGTATAATTTAAATATATGCACGGTATTGATGCCTTCTATTTTTCTGGTGCTTAATGTAGTCGTGTGAGATTGAGATAGAAGAAGATGGCCGACGAGAGTCAAAGGCCAGATGGTGTGCCGGAAGCGGGGCGAGAATGGGGCCTAATCAGCAGAGAAAGGGCCCCCCGGATATCCCTCTACAAACACTCGACTCCACGGCCAGGAAGTGCACCACCCGATACACTATATATGGAGAGGTATTTTAACAAACGGTACTGTTCTATTTCGAGGGGGAACGCAAATTGCGGTAAGCTATTTCTTTTTGCGGAAGCTATTTTGTAATACGTTATTCTGAGTTGTAATTAAAAGTCTTCGTATATTTTTTTGACGCTCTAGCGAATGACGTTCAAGTAATTTTGTAAAATCTCGAAAATGTCGAAAACTAGCTTCTGGAAACCGCGTTTAAATCTTGTTTTCGCTATAACTATTTTATATTACGCTTTTTTGAGATGAAATTAAAATTCTAAGTATAGTTTTTGATGCCCTATCGAATGGTGTCTTCAAAATAGTCTAATAACAATTCAAAATAGTCCCCCAGTTTCAAAATTGATGTGTTCGCGCTAACTTTTTTTGTTAAAATATTTTGAGCTAAAACAAAAACTGTTAGTATATTTTTCGCTGCACTATCGAATGGCAGTGCAAAAATCCCCAGAAAATAGTAAAAATATCGAAGTTTTATCCAATAAAATTGAAATAGAACCTTAAATACACTTTACTAAATGTACCTAAATGAATTGTATACGTGTGCGACTGAGAATTGAATGGTTATACGTTATTCGACAGGCGCTACAGCCTGCGGCCAATGATAAAATTCCAGGATAAACTTTATTCAAAACTCTAACCGGAGCTTTCCAGGGTACAAGGTATTCAGCATCAGAAGTAGGGTGATTAGGGTAGAATATCAGACAGGGTACTAGTGAGAGAAAGGGGGGAGGCAATGCACAGGGTCTCAAAAAAAAACTCAGAGGGTCTCAGAGCTATATTCATCACAATCATTTGATAGCACAAAGAGGAGGTGGCCAACGACCAGGGAGAGAGAGAGAGAGGGGTTACATTCTAAAGAGAATGCCATCCAGGCCTGCCAGTGAGTAAAACAATTGATGTCGAAGGCGGTTGACAAAATGTGAAGCTCCGGGCGGGGAGAAAACACGAAAAGATCTATCTATTAAAAGATGCTAATCAATCAGTCGAAAAGCGATAACCTTAATGGCATCAATTATAGATAAACGGATCATTTCGTGTTTTGTAAAGCAAATTTTAGAGTGGGTGAAAGGCTAGGCAATGAGAAGAGGTGAAGACGAGCTGCAAGGCAAAGACAGCCGCCCACAATGTACATACATAGTTCTCACGCCAAATAGATAATTGAATCAGAATTTATAGAACGTTTTGTATGAGACACAGACCCTTATTGTACTCAAACGAGAGCGATGTTACGAGTGGTAGGGGAGGCGGTCGGCGGACCAATCCAGCGAACGACTTCATTTTACTTCGACGTTGCTGTAGGATCGTTGTTCTCTCGCCGTCGGACACGCACTGTAATGGAAAATAATGAAAGAGATATAGGGAGCCAAGAATTTCGGCAAGAGCTTATCCAGGGTTTTACGAAAAAAGATCCTCCTCTAGCGGCCGGCAGTGATGTCCGAATTTTTGCGATTTAGGTATCTATCGAAAGCCCTCGACGAGCTAAGAAGATATGTTCTCTCCGATCTGTTTAATTCCCGAATTTTTAACCGGTTTTTGATCGGTTTTTTTTGGGCTTAAATTGCGCAATTTGCCGGAAAAACTCTTAATTTAATCGGCGTCAGTCCCATCCAAGCTGTGTTTTCTCAAATGCCCTTCAAAAAGCTGACCTTATGCGGCCAGAAAAGATGTAAAAATTTGGAAAATTGGGTTTTGTTAGAAGACTTGTATGGTAAAAACCCGAAAATTCAGCGACTTTCGCAAAAATGTTGGTGAATGTGGTAAAAATTCGGGAATTTAAAAAATCGGAGAGAACATATCTCCACAGCTCGTTGAGAGCTTTCGATAAAAACCTAAATCGTAAAAATCGGACACGACTGCGGGTTAGAGGGGGTGTTTTTTGGGACACCCCGTACAAGATTAACCGCTATCCGAAAGGGCTCACATCGTTCATAATTCCTCTCGAGTGCTTCTGAGACACGATGCCTGGCTTCCATTGACTGGAATGCAACACCGACTCGGAGCAGGCTCTCGTTCTCTTCGATCGTCATCATCATGTCCATTTCAATTTGGATGCCCAATACGCCTTGTCTCTGAAAAAATGCTAGCTATATTGGGTTATCTTTACGTACGTCACTTAGTAAGACTTGGCTAAGAATTAATCTCATTCTAGCGATATTCAACGTTTTTCGAAAAACAGAAAAATTTTTCGAGAAATTGTCAATTAACATGCCGATCTTGCATAAATCAGCAATTTTCATGGTTTTTGTACGTAAAATTCGCGAACAAAAATACATAATAAAGAAAATGAGGGGGGCACTTTTTTGGGATACGTCAAGGTAAGCCGCACGAGATGTTTGGGTAACTTGCTTCACAAAAAATCGCTAGGCTACATACCTGATTCTCGGCGTGGAATTCGATGACGGATTGCGTCTTCAGCGTCGCTTTCAGAAGCCTAGCCAGCATTTCCGGGGTAATGAAATTCGATTCGACGTTGAGCACTTTGAGTGACGGCGAGTTTTCGAGCATCTTCTCTATGCACTAAAAAGAAAAATAGTGTCCATGATCGGTAAAGAAAACTACCCGAGCCTCCGTATCGGCAATAGCAGTGTTTGACAGGCTGAGGCTTTCGATGTGTTTTGAATTGCTGGCAGCGTCAATCAATTGTCGAATTTTCTCCTTCGATACCTGAATTTATTCTGTAAATGCAACAAGGGGGATTAGATTCGGCGGTACTGAGCTATTTAGAGGGGGACAAATTTGGAATTTTATGGTATTTTTACCATAAATATTTTATTTTACCTTATTCCGGGCTAAAATTAAAACTCTTAGTATATTTTTCCGCGCTCTATCGAATGGCGTTGAATAAACCCTGTGAAAATGACGAAAATGTCGAAAATGCCAAAAACTAGCGTTACACTCCAGGTTCCTAGGTGGAAACGACGTTAAAATGTCGAAAATTCCGGAAAAAAGTTTTAGCCCCATTTTCATAGGTTATTTTTTTATTTTGCTATAACTTTTTTTGTAATTACATTATTTTGAGCTATTATTAAAGCTCTCAGTGGATTTTTCGATGCACTATCAAATGGATTCAGGAAAACCCGGAAACACTAGCGAAAAAATGGGGGAAAAACGCCCTGGCCAAAATAGAAGAGTACGCACGATTCGTCAAAGCTGGGGAAAAGGGGGAAAACGTGCCTCACCCGTTTCATATTATTGATGTTAACAGTCTTCCAACGAGCTGTCGGTTAGTCGTGTAGGGGAATAAGAAGGTATGTAAGAAGGTCAAAGAAGCAAAAACTCCAATGCATTCGTCGACGTTGGTTTCATTCCGGTCCTATTCAAGGGGGGACCCCTTGGCTGGTATGAGGGAATAGGGATGCTAAAAGGGATAATTGACAGAAAAAACTCGCCGAACCTGAAATTCCTGCCTGTATCTTCCATCCTGTCTTTCCCCTTGGGAGGGAATTGGGGAATTGGGGGTGAGCACCGAGTGCATGCCTGGGGTCACATTTAACAAATCAGATATGAATTTACCCAAGAATCCCCGCCAAATCGACCAGATCATTTTCCGGGGCCTTTTTGAGCGCTCTCTCGATGACAATCTGGAAAAAGGTATCGTTGAATGCAAAAACCTGTGCAATACCTCCTCATCCTCGACACTCAATTCGTCGTCATCTGGTGTGGCTAGATCGAACTCAATTGGCATCTAAATTTATCGTATTGTGATGCCAAGAAATATCTCACCTCCATCCCGATACCCTTCGACGCCCCAGCATTCTCATCAACGAATTGCGTTCCTGAAAAGCAATTCTGACAAGATCTCGAAAATTACCTCGGCAACAACACCCCTTTGATAAGGGACAGTTTCATCCCAATCTTTTTCATTTTTTGCTGTATCTTCCAGGAATTGCATCAGGCGCTCACGCTGGAAGTTGAATATATTACATCAAAAGACATTAAATATACCTTGTAGGGGCCAGTTGGAACTTTGCTGGTTTGTTCTTGGCATCTTTGAGAGGGTGGAAGCATCGAATTCTGAAAATTCTTTCTTCTCGCAAGGAGCGGCTTTTAGGGGAACATGGAATTTTGCGACGTGACATAGCTCATTCGATAGAGCTCCAAATTCTGAACAAGTCCTAACGCCTTCAAGAAGCAGTTTTCCAAATATCGCCTTTTGCTAAGTGGGGCCGGGGCCCAAAAATGCTCAAAATCGGCCCTTTCCGAGCGAATTTTCTCTAAAACCGTAGTTGTTCAACGGTTTTTGAAGGATTGGATCTATTCAGAATTTCATCGCCAAATTCCAAGAGCACCTAAAAACGGCCCCTTGTAAGCTAAGAGCACGGGGATTTCTTATCCTAGTCAAACGCTCGTCAAATTCGAACCTTAATCGTTACTCGCCTAAAATAAGCACTTTCGTAAACAGACACCCGTTGCCCACCGGTGACCGCTGGTTCTATTTTTTGAGGAAGAGACCCTAACACCCCTAACCGCACGATTAAATTAAGCGTAAGCGCGCAAAAAATGCGTCCCGGTTAACCCGTAAAAACGTACATCGGGATCAAAATCGTTGTTCAAATCCTCCAATTCGGCCGCGCTCAGCTTTGACAACATTCCCTCGATATCGCCGTCGTCGACGTCCTAAAATGTGTATATTAGGAAAGCAACAGCGTATAATTCGGAAACGACACGGTGAATTAACTGCGTAAGCCACCACAATAATCTCCGTAATCCACTGTACCACTACAAACGTTAACGTGTTTGGCAAAACACTCGCAATGATAAATGTTTTGGGGACTCGGACTACAAGCGATTCCCTGATTAGGAGCCTACTAAACAAAAGCTGAACATCGCATCGAAAAACCAAGGTGTTTTACTGACGAGTAACACACAAAACACGACAGTACCGAGAAAAACGCGTCGTCTATCGAACCAGCGCCCTGAATTCGGTCTTTTCAAATCAGTTACACCAAGAAAATTTCGTTTATCTTAAGGGGCTACAAAGGTAATATTTAACAGCTAGACGTTACTTTACTATAATTTTTTTCATATTACATTATATTGGGCTGTAATTCAAACACTTGGTATATTTTTTGCTGCTCTATCGAATGGTGTAGTCAAAGCCCCGACAAAATCGCGGAAATCTCGAACATTTTTGGGAGCGTTCGGCTGCAATAAAATAAAGTCCATCCTATTTAACTCGCCAAGTGTGTATAGGTATAGCCTTTGTATAGATCGGGTTCAATATATTAATATTACGGTATTAAGCGAAGCTTGCAACATCAAGTAGCCCGATAAGATTAACTAATCCCAAAAAAATACGAAGGAAAGGGATGTAGAGCCCCTGGTCGGGGACCTTGCACGTTGCAGACAAATCCATTCTCAAGAGGGCTAGCCCCGACGAGTGACGTCAAATAACGCCTAGCTAACCGCTTGGGTCAGGGTTTGCAGAAGTCATGGCACCCAAAACCCCTCTAGCGATCCGCAGTGATGTCGGATTTTTACGATTAAGGTTTCTATCGAAAGCTCTCGACGAGCTGAGGAGGGTGGCCGATCACCTGTTCGAAAATCATCTGTTCGAAAACCATCTGTTCGAAAATCATCCGTTCGAAAATCATCTGTTCGAAAATCACCTGTTCGAAAATCATCTGTTCGAAAAGTCATCTGTTCGAAAAGTCATCTGTTCGAAAATCATCGGTTCGAAAAATCACCTATTCGAAAAAGGTCCCAAATGGGGAAAAATTCTATGGGAAGCTATTGCTATTAAAATGCTGTGTTTCGCATGTTTCCTGGGGAAGTTCGAGGAAAATCTGAACTTGCGCGGCTATATCGAATCCTCCGCCGAGCCAAATAAGCGCGCGAGGGTGACCATCGACGAGCAGCAGTAGCTCTGCGAGAACTACAGCAAAGAATATATGGCCGAGTTCCTCGACAACATCGCCAAAATTTTAACCTGAATCTTCATGAATATGTCTTTTTGTTTTTTTTTTTTAGTTTTTTTTTGTCATGAAAAGTCTTTTCAAAAAAACTTTGAATTTTGGAAAAGTTGTTGCTTCGAAAACGGTGTTTTTCGAACAGATGATTTTCGAACCGATGATTTTCGAACAGATGACTTTTCGAACAGATGATTTTTCGAACAGATGTCTTTTCGAACAGATGATTTTCGAACAGATGATTTTTCGAACGGATGATTTTCGAACAGGTGATTTTCGAACAGATGATTTTCGAACAGGTGATAGGGAATCGCTGAGGAGATATCTTCTCTCCGATTTGTGAAATTCCCGAATTTTTCAACCGTTTTTCATTGTTTTTGGGAATAAATCGCGCAATTTTGTACAAAAACTCAATTCAATCGGCTTCAGTCCCATCCAAGCTGTGTTTTCTCAAATGGCTTTCAAAAAGCCGACCTTGGGCTACCGGGAAAGATCTGAAAATTTGGAAAATGGGTTTTTTTAAAACACTTGCATGCGAAAAGTATCGAAAATTTAAACAATTTCGCAAAATGTTAATAAACGGTATAAAAATTCGGGAATTACAAAAATCGGAAAGAACATATCTTCTCAGCTCGTCGAGAGCTTTCGATAGATACCTAAATCGTAAAAATCTGACATCACTGCGGACCGCTAGAGGGGTGTTTTTTAGGGAAACCCTGTATTAGAATTCGGGCGTAATGGAGCATAAATAGCTGCGTATAAATGCTGTATTATTTACCTTTTGTTGCCTCATTTGACAAAACGAAAGGAATGTTTGCGGGTTAGCAGGGAAGGGATGAGGCGGAGTTTGATAAAAAGCAAGGGAGTGGCGAGCTTTGGCGTCGGGAGGCCAAGCGGCACATTTTACGAGTTCATATGGGGGGATCCTAGAAAAGGTGCCATCATCTGGCCACTGGCCCTACGAACAACCCGATGCCCCCAGATCGCGTATGCTGGGGACTGCTGCATTCAGCCGCAGGAATTTAAGGGAAATTAATGGATTTAAAAGAGTTAAATAATGGCTATGAAAGGGTTAAAATTAATGGATAACCTCTACAAAATTTAATTATGGTTCTGGACTGTTAGCAGGGGGGTAATTTTTAGCGGGCGGACCACTCTTTGTTTTTCCATCTACCTGTTGATGATATATTATGCATTTTAATAGTGTTTTTAGTAGTTTCTCATTGCTAGAAAGTTATACAAAGTATTATTACATTTTGAAAATTCGGAATTTTGATCGTTTTTCCGATTTTTCATACATTTCGAAAATTTTGCTTTTTTATTACTTTAGAATCTAAATCAATGCTTTAAAAAGTGTTCATATTTTGTTATAGGGCCGTAGAGAAACACAGCGAAAAATTTGGTCCCCCCTGCTAAAAATCCCCGCCCCCCGCTAACAGTCCAGAACCCTTACGACTGCATAAACGGGGGTTTGGGCTTATTACAGCACGGAGGGGCAAGGTAACAAACGAGTAATGGGCATCTACAAGTAGGAGAATTGCCAAGAAACCGACCTTTAGACCCTTGCCATAAATCTTGTTCGTAGGTCCGGTGGTGCCCGTCTGCGTCCGCGACCCGGGGGCCGCAAACGTTTGCTCTTCCGCATAGTAACTGAAAATCCTACTATATATCCTACCTTATATAATTTTGGAGTGTATCTCTGTGTGTGTGTGTGTGTGTGGATGTCAGGTTCGAGGCCCGATTTGAGGGCCTTCCCGTGTCCAAAATGCCCTGATTCTCCGTCACCCGGGGGAATCGACCCTCCTCTTTCCGATGGCGCTTTCAGAATCCCGATAAAATACAAGTTTACAAAGTTAAAGCCGGTTTTATTGTTTTTTGGGGGTCCGGGAGGGCTAATTTGCATAATGTGAAAAAATACAAATTTCCTCATTCTTGCCAGTTGCACTCGCGAGTTTGGTCGTCTCTTTGGATCTGCCTCTCGATGCGTTTCCTTCCCCTGCCCCGGGCAGTCCACTTGAGGCATAAAACGGGTGTTTGACGCGTGCTGCCAAGCATCGCATGGCGTAGTGGTAAGCGCTTCGCCGTGTTAATCCGACCATCGGAGGTTCGATCCTCGGATATCGTAGTTGTTTTGCTTTTTGCTCGGAAAGTGCGTTTCGGAGTAGATTTCCGTGTAGGGACGTTATTATGAAATTAGGCACTCAAGCCGCGGCCTATAGAATGAAGCTACCCCTCAAGCATGCGCCGCAGGCCAAGGAATCAAGCTAACCGCTCAGCTAGCGCCGCAGACTTTGGAACGACGCTAGCCGCCGAAACTAGCGCCGCAGGCTAAAGGTTCAGGCCGGCCCCTGAAACTAGCGCCGTAGGCTTCGGAAGGAAGTTGCCCGGGCAAGCTAGCGCCGCGGGCCCAAGGTCAGAGCTAGCCCTTCAAAATTGCGCCGCGGGATAAGGAGGCTCAAGCTTGCTCCGCAGGCCTAGCACGAAGCTAATATCACAAGCTAGCGCCGCAGGCTTTTAGAACGAAGCCAGCCGCTCAAGCTAGCGCCGCAGGCTTTAGAACGACGCTAGCCGCTCAAGCTAGCGCCGCAGGCTTTAGAACGAAGCTAGCCGCTCAAGCTAGCGCCGCAGGCTTTAGAACGACGCTAGCCGCTCAAGCTAGCGCCGCAGGCTTTAGAACGACGCTAGCCGCTCAAGCTAGCGCCGCAGGCTTTTAGAACGAAGCTAGCCGCTCAAGCTAGCGCCGCAGGCTTTAGAACGAAGCTAGCCGCTCAAGCTAGCGCCGCAGGCTTTAGAACGAAGCTAGCCGCTGAAGCTAGCGCCGCAGGCTTTAGAACGAAGCTAGCCGCTCAAGCTAGCGCCGCAGGCTTTAGAACGAAGCTAGCCGCTCAAGCTAGCGCCGCAGGCTTTAGAACGAAGCTAGCCGCTCAAGCTAGCGCCGCAGGCTTTAGAACGAAGCTAGCCGCTCGAAGCTTGCGCCGCAGGCTTGTAGAACGACGCTAGCCGCTCAAGCTAGCGCCGCAGGCTTTAGAACGAAGCTAGCCGCTCAAGCTAGCGCCGCGAGGCTTAGAACGAAGCTAGCCGCTCAAGCTAGCGCCGCAGGCTTTAGAACGAAGCTAGCCGCTCAAGCTAGCGCCGCAGGCTTTAGAACGAAGCTAGCCGCTCAAGCTTGCGCCGCAGGCTTTAGAACGACGCTAGCCGCTCAAGCTAGCGCCGCAGGCTTTAGAACGAAGCTAGCCGCTCAAGCTAGCGCCGCAGGCTTTAGAACGAAGCTAGCCGCTGAAGCTAGCGCCGCAGGCTTAAGAACGAAGCTAGCCGCTCAAGCTAGCGCCGCAGGCTTTTAGAACGAAGCTAGCCGCTCAAGCTAGCGCCGCAGGCTTTAGAACGAAGCTAGCCGCTCAGCTAGCGCCGCAGGCTTTAGAACGAAGCTAGCCGCTCAAGCTAGCGCCGCAGGCTTTAGAACGAAGCTAGCCGCTCGAAGCTAGCGCCGCAGGCTTTAGAACGAAGCTAGCCGCTCAAGCTAGCGCCGCAGGCTTAAGAACGAAGCTAGCCGCTCAAGCTAGCGCCGCAGGCTTTAGAACGAAGCTAGCCGCTCAAGCTAGCGCCGCAGGCTTTAGAACGAAGCTAGCCGCTCAAGCTAGCGCCGCAGGCTTTAGAACGAAGCTGGCCACTCAAGCTAGCGCCGCAGGCTTTAGAACGAAGCTAGCCGCTCAAGCTAGCGCCGCAGGCTTTAAGGAACGAAGCTAGCCGCTCAAGCTAGCGCCGCAGGCTTTAGAACGAAGCTAGCCGCTCAAGCTAGCGCCGCAGGCTTTAGAACGAAGCTAGCCGCTCAAGCTAGCGCCGCAGGCTAACGAATAAAGCCAACCATTGAAGCTAGCGCCGCAGGCTAAAGAAGGAGGTAACCGCTCAAACTTGCGCCGCAGGCTTTATCTCGAAACAAACCGATCGAGCATGCGCCGCAAGCCTAATAACGAGACTAGCAATTTAAGCTTGCGCCGCATGTCAATACCAAGAGGTTTGCATGAGAGATGCGTTTTTCTTTCTTCAGGGTAACTTTATGTGGAAGGGCGCTCGATTTATAGGGCCTAGACGGGGTCCAGCGGGGGAGAGTCGCGAAGCGGCTCCTCCCCCGCTGGTAAAAAAATAGTGTCTGTGTGTGTGTGCATTTGAATGCAACTTCCGTCTGGGTGTACCAGCAAAAGCGGCTCTGGGGAGGGGGTTTGAGGTATGTATCATACCTCTTTAGGTGCGTAATGGTCTTGCGATGACTGCACACATGCAAAATTGCGGGAAAAGTGGTATTTTCGATATTAAAAATAGGTTTTTGTAAAAAATCTCGAGCCTCCTCTTTGTTAGGAATCATTTAGCATGCACCGGAAGTGAGGAAACCCTATATAAAGTGACCGAAGGCGTATTTTTTCATTTTTGGCGTTGTGGTTCGAGAAAATTATTCAAGTTATGAATTCTCATAGGATAAGACGGGGCCAGGGTTGAAAAGTCGCGAAGCGGCTTTTCAACCCTGGTATGAAATAATTCTCGTCATCTGGTGTTTTCTGGAACTCTACGGCCCCAACAAATTACAGGGTGGTCCAAAAAACGACCCCTCCGGCATTGGCCGTATTACATCGTATCGGTCCCAAAATTGGAACAAAGGTGTATCACACGCTAAATAACAACAATCCTGATTTATAGCCCGATTGCTACAGTGATTCTTGAGTTATACCCAAAAAATAGTGTTTTCCATGCGATTTTTAACAGTTTTTCGGCTATATTTTTGGACTTTGCATCGACTTCCGGCTCGCGATCCCTCATTTCGCTTATGGACCGGGTTCAGTTTTGCGTGTAAAACACGTTTAAATCAGCGTGTATTTAGTTAAATTTTTGTCAGGAAAAAGTTTCTAGGTGTAAAGAAGCCTTCCCGCATCATTTTTACTTGATATTCTAAGGGCCGACTGCGACGAAAACCCAATGGAAAACGCATTATAAAGTTTATTTTTGTTGTATCTCGAAAATTACTGTAGGTGGCGGGCTATAACCCAGGATTGTTGTTATTTATCTGATACACATCTCTTCCGGATTTTAGGGCCGTAATACGGTAATACGCAAAATGCCGGAGGGGTGCTTTTCTGGGACACCCTGTATACCGCGTCTAATTTCTGATTAGTTTTCGCGTTTTCCCTTCCCCCTCCCCGCCCGAAAACAGTGGGGCCATCGATTAATGTGATTGGGCCGTCCGGTGAGTGACGCTATCACGTGCAGAGCATGAGCTTCGAGGAGGACCCAGACAGTGCCCTGCCTCGGCATACCCCCAAGAACGAGGAGGAGCACGAGAGGCTCGGGATCCAATAGGATTGGACACTTGAAGAGAGTCAACCTCTACCCGAGGCAGCTGGTTGGTCCTTTCCCGAAAGCCGAGCTCCGACTCCTCAACAGAAATAAACTCGGACAACAAGCCGGAGGGGGTGGGGGGTATTTAGGACGCCCCCACCGGCCAGTTGCCCGTTGCCTCGGGTTCGTATGGGGGGTTCCGGTGAGGTTTGTTTCGCTTGCGAATTGCGTAAGGAAATGCGAATGAGCATGAAGTACCCTATCCCGAGTATAGTTCCGGTACAAGTTAGCGACGTACCAATACAAATGACGCTCTAACAACGTGCGCCCCTTCCTCTCGCCGCAAAAGCTATGTAAGCAAAAAGAAGCGGTTCTCAGGAATTCCTGCATCAATTTCTTTCGTTAAACCACTCAAAATGCTGGAAATAGTGGAAATGTGAACAAATATTGAGTCGAAATTGCAAAAATGCTTTTCGCGAATCGAGTTAGTTGCAAGAAACCGAAAAACGAAGCACACCTAGTTACGGTCATACGTAATTAAGGACGCTACGTACGTTGCACGAGGAATTATACTCGAGATTTTAGGGTAGTCGGCACAAATTTATCAATGTAAAACCAGGTTAAATGAAACCATTTAGATAATGTCCAATTTTTAGTAGTCGACAATTTGCGAACATCGCCATGCACTTACTTATGGCGCGCACCAACCATCCTCCTTTTGCTAAGCATAGTCTCAGAAGCTAGTCGACAATTCTGGGGGTGGTTGTGAATCGATGCCTCTTCCGGGCCTCCGTATTTGTTAGAAACGCGTCTTACTGCCTTCTCCCTGGCCACGCCCCCATGCGTTTCCCAAATTTTTCCCAAAAGAAGCGCTGGCGTGATGAAGAGCGGGAGCACCCCAAAAACCATCTGACAGGTTGTGAGATTCACAGGTGCTAATGCAGTTAGGGGGTGGGCGCTCCGAAATTGGAAGTAGGGGCTACGAGGTGCTCCGCTTAGGCAATTTGGTTTTCAGTTTAAACCCAGGCTTAACTTAGCTTTCACTATGCTTAGCTTATGCTTAGGCTTAAGCTTAAGCCCAAGCTAGACTTATCTTGAGCTTTAAATTGCCTTACGAGGTCAAAATGGGGTCATTTAGGGATTAGCTTAGGCTTCGTTTGTATGAAGCTACGCCTAGGCTTAGGCATAGCTTAGCTTTTCCAGAGGCTTCGGGTTTAAAAACGGCATTTGGAGCGTCTTTAAGTCCATATCAATCACGATGAAGATGACTTTACGATCAGAGAGCCCGATTCAAAATTTACGAAAACGGGCAAACAGTTCCGGCGCGGCAATGCAAACACGCATTCCAGGCCGCCTGGGGACAATAATTCGAGCGGGGAGATGCGATGTAAAGATTTGGGAACAGATCCTAGAGCGATTCGTCATTTCCACGTAGCTAAATGCACAGATAAGAGTGGTAAGTCCAAAAAATGTGAAAAAATTTTAAATCGTAAGATTGACGTCGGCTGCTAGGCTACCAAGGGAACGTTCCGAAGTGAAATTTCGGCCTTTTTAATGAGAGACCCAGTTTCTAGACCAGTTTTTTCCGCTGATTCCGAATCTGCCGTCAGTTTTTGCCACAGAGCTTTCGTTTTTGAGATAAAAGACGTTTTTCAACGCGGTTTGTAAGCAGAAAACCCTCTTTTTTGCCCTAAAAATGATTATTTCACAAAAACGAAGGGTCTGGGACAAAAACCGATTGCAGATTGGGAATCTGCGTAAAAAATTGGTCTAGGCGTGGGATCTCACATTAATCGATCGAACTTTAACTTCAGAACGGTGTCTTGTAACTTTCAGATTTCCGAAAAATTGTCAAAATTTGAAAATGACTTACAAATCTGCCATACAGTCTCCAACGGAAATTGAAGCGAGTCGTCCAGGGTCCTGATGTAGCGCGGGGGTGAATTATGCAAAAACGAGCCGCGTCTTCTTATAGCGCGGGGGGGGTTGAATGGTGCGACTCGCCGTTTCGGGGCGGCTCTTCTCTACCCTCCAAAAGCCGGGCGACAAGCAAGTGGCGGCCTGGGCGGTGTGCGATCGATGGCGATCAACGCCCGCGGCAACTCCCCTGCCGCGTGCGACGGTCGGGGGGCCATCCGGCTGCTGGACATGTGCCAGGCGACAGCTGCCACATCCATAGAGGGCATTCCGGTAAGACACCCGCGGTAAATTGTACTTCTTGGGGGAGGTCAAGGAAACTCTGTTAACCGCCCGGGAAAGACGGCTCTTTGAAGCTCTTTTAGCTTGTTAAGCCCTTTTTAAGCCATCAATCCTCGTGACCAAACGCATCGGTTCTTTAGGATACGCGGGATTTTTTTCGGTGCAATCCGAAATTTTTTTTATAAATAGCTGATGCGCTTCTAAATTGTTTTTAGCTATTCCTAAGCTTCAACGATACCAAATTTCAATTAAAAATTTAATTTTAGAGGATAAAAATGGCTTTTTTCGATCTAAAATGACCAAATTTTCGACTTTTCAAACGATTCCCTAATTTTTGAAAGTTTTCTACCTTAAATATAGTTCAAATTTACTAAAAACAATGTAAAACACTTGATTCCTGGGCCAACCGGGACCGCTAGGAAAAAATTGGTTCCCCCGGCGAATTCTAAAAAACCAACGAATCTCAATGGGCCAGTTCTAAAACTCCAATTCGACCAATACATCCTCGTCTTTTCACAAAGTTCCGCGAAATTATTTTGATGACACGCAAAATAAACATGTAAACCCCGATTCCCGAACAGCTGTTGCATTCCTAGCGACCTGACACACCAGATTCCGATTTACCGGATTGTCCTTTTTACGCATGACCGCTGAATTTTGGTGTCAACACAAAACAACGGGCCTATGTCAGTGAGTTGTCAGTTGTCGTTTTTAGCTGTCAGTTTAAAAACAACAAATCAGCACCGACACTTGCTAAACTAGCAATCGATAAACCAATGTTCTCTGAGTTCGTTCTCCGATTGTTTACCGGGACGTTTGATCCGTTAAAGACAACCATCCTAGGTTCATCACGATCACCATCCATTCTAACGATGAGGCAGCCACCCCCTGACATAAGTCTGCTATTCTAACAGTGGCACTGAGGTTGTAGTGGATGGGGCCTTGCAAGATCGAAAACAGATGTCGCATGAATATGAGGCCTCGCTAGCCAGGCCTTGCGCCCTAAGTTTGGAGCCGGAAGGGATAAAGGAGCAGCAGCCGGTCGCAATGATAGGGGTTACGTTAGCTCATCGTTGATTTGGCGCCCTTTATCACGAAGCTCATAATACCGAAATCCGTTCTACCGAAATGCCATAGTACCCAAATCCATAATACCGAAATTTAGCCATATTTCTACCTGAAAACTATTTAGAAAACTTTGAAAAGTCCTTGCAAATTTGAACTTTTTTTCGGTATTTTGGATTTTGGTGTATTGAGAGTCGGCATTTTGGGATTCGATGTTTGTTATGGATTTCGGCAGACGAAAAAAGACCCTCAACTTTCAGTACCAACTCCAGCAGAATAGTATCACTAGCAAATTACGATTATTACTACAAAAAGATTTCCCCGCTGAAATGGAAAATCACAAAAATTAATTCAGAAAGGAATCCCCCGAGCGCAATCCTAATAGTGGCCATATGGGCAATCGATCACATGTTCCTGCACACACTCCTAACGTGTCACAATAATAAATACAGGGTGTCCCAAAAAGACCCCACTCTAGCCGTCCGCAGTGATGTTCGATATTTACGATGTAGGCATCTATCGAAAGCTCTCGACGAGCTGAGGAGATTTTTGAAATTGCCGAAGTTTGATAACATGTACTAACGATTTTGCGAAATTGGCTGTATTTTCGATGCTAGTTCCCAGGGGCGTAGCCAGAAAAAAAATTTCGGGGGGGGCCCCGAAAAAATTTTTCGAAAAACTCAAAAAATTAACAAGAAAACAGCGCCGCAGGCGAAAAATTTTGAAAAAAAGGCTATGTAGCTCTACAAATAGCAGTAAAAACGTGGAAAAATAGCGCCGCAGGCAGCAAAATTTTTGAGAAAATAAAAATCATAAGGGTCCCCCCTTATGAAATTTTCGGGCCCCGACCGATTTCGGGCGGGGGGGGGGGGCCGGACCCAGGGGGCCCACCTTACGCTACGTCCCTGCTAGTTCCCATGCAAGTGTTTTTAACAAAAACCCCATTTTACAAATTTCAAAACAAATTCCCGGGAGGGGGGGAACCAACTTTTTTTTCCTGTCGGCCCTGGTGGGAATAGTAATCAATTATAAAGTGTTTTCATATTGTTTTTGGCCTATTTGAATCGGAAAAAAACTTTTTAAAAGTTAGAAAAACGCTTGAAAAAGTCGAAAATTTGGTCATTTTTGGGCGGAAAAAATTGATTTTTCGACCTCAAAAATAAATTTTTTAATTAAATTTTGTAAAGTTTTTATGTTTAGGAATAGCTATAAACAGCTTAGAAACAATTCCACTATTTATATAAAAAATATAGGCTTGGGCCGAAAAAGTTCGGTTTCCCTCCCCCCTACGCAAGAACCGGGGTCTTTTTTGGGACACCCTTTACATCCAAAGCTACACTTACTCGATTCCCTTCGAAATCGGGCTGAGCGGGCCAATCGGTGAAAATTCCGCTTCTCGTGGACGAGCCGACGCATACATCTAAATCAGAAAATAATTGGAATTAACTAACAGTAATTGCAAAGAGGAAACGGACATTCTGATAATCGGATCAAAGCGGTGATAGGCCACCGCCATTACACTGTTTTACTTCCTCAGACAATAGGAACGCGCTTGCTTCGAGAAAAAGTGAGGGGTTTCGCAAAGCAAAGAAGTCGGACCGGATCAGGTTTCGGGTTCGGTTTGACTGAGCAGCCCTGAATCGAGCGCTTGACGGACGTGAAAATCCATGGCTGCAGAAGATAAAGGTATTTTTTTATAATCCGCGGATGCGTTTCTACATCGTTTTTTTAACTATTAGCATAAAAACTTTATAAATTTTAATTTCAGGGCGAAAAATTGATGTTTTCGACCCAAAATAACCTAATGTTCGACTATTTCATTTTTCTACTTTTTAGAAAGTTTTTCTACTTTAAATATAGCTAAAACTTACTAAAAACTATGTAAAAACACTTTATATTTGGTTACTAGGCCAACCGAGGCCGCCGGGAGGGAAATGGGAGCTAAGCTCCAAGCCAAGCCGGGCCTAAGCCTAACCTAAGCCAAGTCTAGGCTTAAGCCCAAGCCTCAGCTAAGTCTAAGCTAACAAGGAGATGGTCTCAACTGGGAATCGAATTCGGATTTGAAAATTTGCACACTTATAGAGCTCGACGAGACAAATCGATTGGTGTAACTTTCAGCTGCTGATACAATAACCACGCCGAGTTATAAGCATTTTAAGTTTTTGCATACATTTTGCAATTTTTTGCCCATAGCTTCATAGGCCTTCCCCGCCTCCCCCTCACCGTGGTCTGGTGGCCTAGTGGTATAGTAGGCGGCCTCCGGGGAATCTAACGAGGGTTCGAACCCGCTCACGATTTTTATTTTTTGCTTTTTTGTCCGATGGTTCCTCTTTGCTTTCTGAAGACCTTGAATAGCTTTTTACGCATTATTTTAAGATTAGATATTACATTATTTTAGATCGAACTTCACCGCAAAAATTTTTCTTGCTGGGCATCGAGCCCTTGTCCGACCTATGACTACCATTTCCAAAAAAATTGCGCGGATGAAAGTTTTTGTTCGGATAACACACCATTTACCAAAATTACGTTTACTCCATGATTTTTGATATGCTTTGAATTTTCAATTTATTTTGGGACCGGCTAGTCCTTTCGGGTAAAAAATCTAAATTTTTTCATACAGATGTTTTTTAGCCATTTCGCACCAGAGGAGTTAAAATAATGCGTAAAAAGCTATTCAAGGTCTTCAGAAAGCAAAGAGGAACCATCGGACAAAAAAGCAAAAAATAAAAATCGTGAGCGGGTTCGAACCCTCGTTAGATTCCCCGGAGGCCGCCTACTATACCACTAGGCCACCAGACCACGGTGAGGGGAGGCGGGGAAGGCCTATGAAGCTATGGGCAAAAAATTGCAAAATGTATGCAAAAACTTAAAATGCTTATAACTCGGCGTGGTTATTGTATCAGCAGCTGAAAGTTACACCAATCGATTTGTCTCGTCGAGCTCTATAAGTGTGCAAATTTTCAAATCCGAATTCGATTCCCAGCTGAGACCATCTCCTTGTAAGCCTAAGCTAGGGCCAGGATAGGCTTAGGCTACGTCTAACTAGGGAGGTATCTGAACTCGGCATCGAACCTTGAGAAGTCAGATACACCATTCGACGCGCCTGGTCGAGGGGATTCCAAATATGTAATAAAATCAACCAAAGCGTATAACCGTAAAAAGTTATGAGCATTTTAAGTCGACAAAATGGTGAAAAACAGTATCTTTGAAACCCTGTATCATCCCGCGGAATGGAATTTAGCCTAAACTGATTAGTGCTCCTTATTCAACAAAGAAAGCTCTTTCAAATGAGCTGGGTTACATACGGCTGCCAAAAATTTCCGTAAAAAAATATTTTTGGAATGCGGCGTAAGGGTAGGGTATGGCGAGCTTGCCGAAGACGTTTCGAGAATTTCGCGTAAAGCATATATTTTATGCTGATCAAGATGTACTGTTTTATTTTCGACAAATTACATTCTTCGAATTTGTAAAGAGTCTTAAAAGGGCGGTTTTTGACGATTTTGCCAACTTTGATATAAAGAGCGTCCAATCCTGGTCCTGTTGCCCGAGGTTATTTTATCATCGCTGGTGCCTTTTAGGGGTCACACAGTCAAGAAAAACTTATTCCCGAGTTTGGAAATGCAAAAAGTAGGAACTGGTCAAAAAGCAAAAATTAAAAATCGTGAGTGGATCCGAACCCTGGTCATACAGACGGGAGACCCATGCGCAAACCACTAGGCCACGAGGCCGATGAACAGCGTGCGCTGGGAGGGGCTCATATCGCCGCGGCGGTCTTCGCTGCAAAACTTAAAATGCTCATAACTTTTTATCGTTATAGGCTCTGGTTGATTTTATTACATATTTGGAATCCCCTCGACAAGGCGCGTCGAATGGTGTATCTGACTTTTCAAATTTCGATGCCGAGTTCAGATACCTCCCTAGTAAGCCCTAGACTAAGCCTAAGCTAAGACAAGACGAAACATAAGCCAATCCAAAAGCAAGCATATGCCTAAGCCTACGCTAATCCTAAGCCTAAGTTAAGTCGAAGCCAAGCCTAAAAACGTTAAAAGTGAGAGACTGCTCATCCGGCAAAGATTCGCGATTGAAATAATGAATCTATAAGCCAATTTCCAAAAATTGTAGGCAGGATTGACCCAAAGGAGCGGACGAGCCCGACTTTTCCTTCCCTTCCCGCCGTTACCCGACAGCCCCTTTCCCCTCCCCTCTTCTCACAAGAAAGACCAAAAGAGAAGAAGCGCCAAGAAGCGGCGAAATGAATCTTCCAGTGGTCAGCTGCCACTTGGGCCGTCAGATCGAAGACACAGTGACGAGCGCTTAAAACAAGCGCGTCTTGACGAATAGTTCCGTGGTCGCATTACGTCCAGAACAGGAAGTGCCTTTCTGCAGTTTTTCAATTGACAATTGTTCAAGGTAAGTGCGCAACCATTTATTCGAATAAAAATATGCAGCATTTTTTCACTTGATGGTTTGGATTATTGGACGTGGTTGAAGATCATTTCGGCTGATGGCGGCGGGTCGGGAGGGTTATTGTCCTCTTGCTTCGCGTTGTCTTCCTGAAAACAAAATAAGAAAGATCGAGGGTGAAAACTCACGATAGGTTCGGCCGTCAAAAAATCAGCAGGAAGTCGACGCGGGGGCCCCTAAGACGTTTGCCGAAGAATGCCAATCGCTAACCATATTTTTCTTTGGAGCAGCAGCATTGCTTTTCTCGGACGAGCCACTTGATGTATTGTTGGAGGGCGCGGCCTTCTGATGTCAAATAATTAAGGTCCTGGACTGTTAGCAGGGGGAGAGATTTTTAGCGGGTGGGGGGCCAAATTTTCTCTATGGTTCTCAACGGTCCTCTACAAAATATAGACCATTTTTCTAGCATGTTACATAGTTTTTAGATATAAAAATAATAATTTTCGCCCATTTTTCACTTTTTTGCCAAAAATATTTGAAAAATGGTCACAAACGTCAAAATCCTTGAATTTTCAAAATTAAAAAAAACTTAAAAATTTCTAGCAACCAAAAACTACTAAAAACACTATAAAAATATGATATATATCATCAACAGGTGAATAGGTGAAAAACCAAATGATTTTTTCGTCCTTCTAAACCCCCCCCCCGCTAACAGCCCAGAACCATAATTAATTTGTACATATAATACGGTACCTTTTTGTCTCGGTCTTCCGCGTCGCCGGTCTTTGCCTCGACCGATCGAATAGTTTGTGGGGTTTGGGCCACAGGCGTCTAAGAGGTAAAATCATGTCCGAAACGTAGTGTATTACCTTTGCCTCAGGATGACAGTCAGCGGCCCCATACATCCTCAACAGATCAGCCTGCGTAATCACACGACCATCGTCTTGAGCGAACATGTAACCCACTGAAAAGCAATTTTACATTAACGAGAATGAATCCTTGCATTTTCCGCCTTCGAGCTGTGCTTTCAAACCGACGGCACCGACGACTTTGACCAGAGGCTGGCGCAGAATCAAATCCAAAACATTGTCCTGGAAGAAGGAAACTACACAAAACGCCGGTTCATACCTTTGTTTTTAGCGACTGGACGACACGCTGAAGAAGGGATGGATCCATCGTTCTCTCGATGCTAAATACAAGTTGCGCGAAAAATCTGTGCTAATGCGGTGGGGGGCAGTCCAAAATTGGTCGTATGGTGTTACGAAGCGCTCCGCTTAAGCTACCTGGTTTTCAGCTTAAGCCGACGATTTAACTATGCCCAGCTTAGGCTTAGGCTTGAGCCCAAGCTAAGCTTATCTTGAGCTTTAAATTGCCTTACGATGTCAAAATAGGGTCATTTAGGGCCAAGCTTAGAGCTAAGCTTAGCTTGGCTCAAACTAAGCTTAGGCTTCGTTTGTATGAAGCTAACAAGGAGTCGTTTTTAGGTGATATTGGAGTTTTTGAGCGAGACCTAGCTAGTTCGATAGAGAAAAAAATTCTGAACAAGATGTCGTTTTCCAAATCTGCTAACCGTGTACTGTATTTAATAAAAATTAATTTTAATGAAAATATTCCTGGACGTCAGGCTGCGACCCATGGATCAGGCCCGGGACATAGCCCACAGCGCGCACCAGCATTCGCATGAGATCGTGGCCTAGTGGATAGTGCCTACGCCTATCAAACTTTTGCAAAATTATGCCCAGGGTTCGGAACTTATTGTGATTTATTGTTTTGCTTTTTGGTTTTTCATGCCATTGAAATCGAATTTGGCATTATCGCGCAAAAAGCAAAAGAGTTTTACTAGCGAGGAGCCGAACCCGCTGGCAAAAAATGACAAAAACTTATGAAGCAAGCGCACTACCAATAGGCCAGCTGGTCATGGCTGGAGGGAGGCCTAAAGGGGGCCATGTTGACGCGCACCCAAAGCGCAGAATCTGCGGATCAGGCGGAAAATGATGGTTAGATTGATGATTTTCAAATTAATTTTTATTAAACAGCGTACACGGTTAGCAGATTTGGAAAACGACATCTTGTTCAGAATTTTTTTCTCTATCGAACTAGCTAGGTCTCGTTCAAAAACTCCAATATCACCTAAAAACGACTCCTTGTAAGGCAAGGCTGAGGCTTAGCTTACAAGGAGATGGTCTCAACTGGGAATCGAATTCGGATTTGAAAATTTGCACACTTATAGAGCTCGACGAGACAAATCGATTGGTGTAACTTTCAGCTGCTGATACAATAACCACGCCGAGTTATAAGCATTTTAAGTTTTTGCATACATTTTGAATTTGGTTCGGCCATAGCTTCATAGGCCTTCCCCGCCTCCCCCTCACCATGGTCTGCTGGCCTAGTGGTGTAGTAGGCGGCCTCCGGGGAATCTAACGAGGGTTCGAACCCGCTCACAATTTTAATTTTTTGCTTTTTTGTCCGATGGTTCCTCTTTGCTTTCTGAAGACCTTGAATAGCTTTTTACGCATTATTTTAACTCCTTTGATGCGCCGACAACATCGAACTTCACCGCAAAAATTTTTCTGGCTGGGCATCAAGCCCTTGTCCGACCTATGACTACCATTTCCAAAAAAATTTCGCGGATGAAAGTTTTTGTTCGGATAACACACCATTTACCAAAATTACGTTTACTCCACGATTTTTGATATGCTTTGAATTTGCAATTTATTTTGGGACCGGCATAGTCATTTCGGGTAAAAAATCTAAATTTTTTCAATTTTTTCATGTTTTTTAGCCATTTCGCACCAGAGGAGTTAAAATAATGCGTAAAAAGCTATTCAAGGTCTTCAGAAAGCAAAGAGGAACCATCGGACAAAAAAGCAAAAAATTAAAATTGTGAGCGGGTTCGAACCCTCGTTAGATTCCCCGGAGGCCGCCTACTATACCACTAGGCCACCAGACCACGGTGAGGGGGAGGCGGGGAAGGCCTATGAAGCTATGGCCGAACCAAATTCAAAATGTATGCAAAAACTTAAAATGCTTATAACTCGGCGTGGTTATTGTATCAGCAGCTGAAAGTTACACCAATCGATTTGTCTCGTCGAGCTCTACAGGGTGTCCCATAAAAAAGCACCCCTCCGGCATTTCGCCGTATTACATCCGATCGGTCCGAAATTTGGACCAGAGGTGTATCAGACCCTAAATAACCACAATCCTGAGTTATAGCCCGCCACCTACACTAATTTTTGAGATAAAACAAAAATAAACTTTCTCATCCGTTTTTCATTAGGTTTTCGTCGGAATCGACCCTTCGAATATTAAGTGAAAATGAGGCGGCAAGCCTTCTTTAACCCTAGGAATTTTTTCTTGGGAAAAATTAATCAAATAAACGTTGATTTCAACAATTTTTGTAACGGAAAGTCACTCCCGATATTAAGCGAAATTAGGGATTCGCAGCCGGAAGTCGATGCAAATCGATGCAAAGTCCAAGAAGTTAGCCGAAAAAACTGTTAAGAATAGCGTACAAAATAGTATTTTGGCGATAACTCGAAAACTACTGTAGCGATCTGGCTATAAGTCAGGATTGTGGTTATTTAGGGTCAGATACGCCCTTCTGCAAGGTAGGGGACCGATCGGATGTAATACGGTGAAATGCCGGAGGGGTGCTTTTTTATGGGACACCCTGTATAAGTGTGCAAATTTTCAAATCCGAATTCGATTCCCAGTTGAGACCATCTCCTTGTTAGCTTTTCCAGAGGCTTCGACTTTAAAATCGCAATTTGGAGCGTCTCGTAGTCAAAATTCGAACTGCCCCCCAAGTGCATTGGCTCCGAAAAATCACATAGCTTACCTCTTAACAATAATATCCGGTACCAGACAGACGGCGCACATCAGCGGTATGAAAAAGGCCGTGGATGGCGACGGCAACGAGTAGATTAATCCTGATGAAAATTGATGTAGAAGCGAATATTGTAGACGAAACCGAGGTAAGAGGCTCTGTTCGGGGCAAGAACCGGTGCAGAGAAGTGGGGGGAACACGTAGGAGTCCGAGAGCAGCAACACCAAATAGGCGAGTAGAGAACCGAAGAAACCGATTGCCGATATCTGAAAATACAGAGCACTCCATGCAATTTCAATAAATGCCCACCACCGAAATCGAGCGGCTTTCTATCAACGCCTTGAAGTTGACGATCACCACCAGACACTAAATTACAAGGTTCTAGACTGTTAGCGGGGGGATTTAGCAGGGGAGCCATTTTCTTTTCACCTATACCAGGGTTGAAAAGCCGCTTCGCGACTTTTCAACCCTGGCCCCGTCTGATCCGATGATATTCTGCACTTTGCATATTTTTTCACCAATCCCATCCCGAAAAATGAAAAACATCCCCTTCTGTCCCTTTACATAGGCTTTCGCCACTTCCGGCGCATGCAAATTGTTTCCTAACAAAGAGGGAGACCCGAATTTTCATAAAAACTTAATTTTAATGTCGAAAATACACTTTCTATAAAATCTGATATGTGTGCAGTCGTGTCATGACCATTACGCACCTTTCGGCGTATCAAGCATACCCGTAACTTCCTTCCCTATCGAGATACGACTGGAACATAATGACGGAAGTTGCATGCAAAGTGGCACACACACACACACACACAAACACTATTTTTTTTATATATAGTAGGATCTTTTGATGATTATAAGGAATTTTTATAGGGTTTTTAGCAATTTTTGATAGCTAGAAAGTTGCAAAATCATTTTTAAAATATTGAGAATTCGAAAATTCGATTTTCTTATAGGTCCGTACCGAATCATAGAGAAAATTTGGTCTCCCCCCCCCCCCCGTTAACGGTCCAGAACCAATTAATCTTTCTTTTTCTTTCTAAATAGCAAGAATGCATTACCAAATACATGAAGGTGCCGACCATCTGGGTCCAACCGTCTCGCCCATGCGTGAAGGCAGCTGTTACAAAATTAGTCGGTCGATAATTAATTGTGAGGATTACATGTGCCATATTTCCACCAATAGAGCACCGAGTGGAAGATCAAGAACGCGTGGGCGATTGCGTTGGCAGACCACATCATATGCGACTGAAAAAAAAGACGGATTTGTCGAAATTTGTCGATGAACATCAAGAAAAACTCGAGCTGAAATACCGACGCGGATGGAGATATTGTTCTGGAAGAGCGGATATAGGCGTGGATATTTTGCCATCACATGCAGAGGGGCTGGATTGTCGTGCACGCCGAAGCAGCCGACAGTAATGCTGAGATGTAGACAGGTTGTTTTTTTTTGAACAACGAAAAGAAACCTTGTGTAGAACAAATTATAGCGGACCATCGTGTACTCATCGGCCATCCCGCTGTCCGAGTGGCCATTGTAGAAGGCATAGGTCACCTAAAAAGGAGGACGTTTTTAATTTCGTTTTAACGACGAAGAGAGTTTCGACATGGGACCTGCCTTTTCGTGCAGAATTTTTCGCTGATTAAAACATCGTAGTCAGAATCTGCGAAACGACCAAAATAAGAAAGTTATGACGCTTTAAAGGGCGTAAGATGCCCAAAATGGCCAACTTTTGCCGTTTTTCGCCCTTTAAAGCGTCATAACTTTCGGTAAGAGTTTACTTTACCCCCACAGCCGAAGGGCCTGAAAGTTGTCGGTATTTTCGCTTATTTTGTCGGTATTTTCGCAACGACATTCGATAGAGCGTCGAAAAATATACTAAGAGTTTTAATTTGAGCCTACAATAAAGTAAAATAAAAAAGTTATAGCCAAAAACTTCCGGCTGGGGGGGGGTAAAATAAACCGTAGCCACTTTCTTATTTCGGTTGTTTCGCATATTCTGAAAAGTACGTTCTGATCAGCGAAAAATTCTGCACAAAATAGGCTTGATCCGATTTCGAAACTCTGTGGACACTAAACAACTACGGTATAAATCTCACATTCATGCAAACTTCCACGAGATTCTTGTAGAGCGTATAGAGGACAATCTTGGTGATGCGATGGAAGCACGAGGCGCCATGGACAAAAAGTAACCGATCCAAGTGACGGAACTGTAGGCAATAGTTTGCAAAAAGCAAATAATCGGCCACCGACCTGGGTGAGGCTAAAGTCCGCAGCCGCACTCGCTTGACCACCTTCCAGCCCGGATATTCCGACGCCAACATCGGCCTCCTGAGAGTTCCAAAGGTTCAAAATGTTCATTGAACCCACCTGAATCATCGCCACATCATTAGCCCCGTCGCCAATAGCAAGGACGAGCCCATCGACGTTACCGCGGACCAGTCTGGTGACAGCCGCCTAAAGAATTTTTTCGGAACAACTTTTTTTTCGCCGCAGGCCTATTTTTTAGAAAGAGCGGATGCGTTTCTAAATTGTTTTTTAGCTATTCCTAAGCATAAAAACTATACAAATTTACATTGGAAAATTTATTTTTAGGTCGAGAAATTGTTTTTTCGAGCAAAAAAGCCAAGTTTTCGACTTTTTCAAGCACTTTTCTAATTTTGGAAAGTTTTTCTACTTTAAATAGAGTTAAATGTACCTTTTGCAAGGGTGTACAACGACAGCAAATGACGGCCGAACAACAGAGAGCCAAACGGAGGAAGTCCATGCGCATGATCCGAGAGCCAAGCACCCAATCCAGACACTTAAAGCTCATAAAGATATCAGGAGTCTCTGGGATCTGGAGAAACGCACGTGTGCATCGACAATGAGCGCCATCTGATTGTCACGATGTTCGAGGCAGCGAGAGCCCAGTCTGTCCACATATCTGAAAAATGACAATAGAAAAATAGTCCTTTCAACATCTCACTTGTCCAAATGGGCCGCCGTTTCCTCTTCGGTGTTGCAGGCCAAGATCAGGGTTGGGGTTTGCGGGGTCACCAGTGAGCATGAGTATCCTGAGGTAAGTGTGCTCAAAGAGCCAAAAAATAAGGCAAACCGATGTTGAGGGCCGTCTCCAACTTGTCTCCGGTCAGTACCCACACTCTGATGTCGGCTTGGAGCATGCGGGCAATGGTCTGCGGCACGCGCTATAACACGAAACCGTTGCAGATCGTCAAGAGGATCAACAGACGTCTTGCAGCTTATCCTCGATTGCCGATGCGCCAAGGAGAGTGATATCCTAAACATACACCGCATCAGACCAAAAATTACCGTACCCGTTCGATCAATTCAGCAACCTGATCCATCTGGGCTTGCCTGTCGTTGAGATCACAATTTGCGCTTTGCCAGAGTTGGGACCAGCCGCTATATACTTATGGTTACAAAAAAGTGGTGCTAATTCGCTTACGGAGGGAGGGGGCAATCCGAAATTGGTAGCAAGGGGTTACGAGGCGCGGTTTTCAGCTTAAACTTAGGCTTAACTTAGCCTTAACTATGCTTAGCTAGCTCAGGCTTCGGCTTAAGCTTAACCTGAAGGTAAGCTTAGCTGAAGCTTTAAATTGCCTTACGAGGTCAAAATGGGGGCCTCGAGCTAAACTTAGCTTGGCTCAAGCTAAGCTTAGGCTTCATTTTTGTGAGCTAAGTCTCGGCTTAAGCTTGGCTTAGCTTTTCCAGATGCTTAGATTATAAAACCGGGGTTTGGAGCGTCACGTAGTAATTCGGACTGCCCCTCCCAAGTGCATTAGCACCAAAACTGTTTATCCCACGAGTATTCCCGCTCAGTTAGATCGCGGTAGCCATAGCAAAGCGTGCGGTAACCTGTTGTGGGCATGTTAAAAATGAGCGTACGATGAACTGACCAAGGTTGGCAAATTCCTTGAGATGACTTTGTGTGGCATGGCGTGTCTTTTGGTTGCTGTCGGATGAGAGCATGGAAAGGATTTTGATATCCTGAAAGCGGATCGTTTTGCGCAAAATCCCGTAACAAACCGCGCCCTTCACAAAAAGCCGTATGGTGCCCTCCGGGGTCTGGACAATCACAGCCATTCGTTTTCTGGTCGACGAGAATTCGAGCACAGCCAACAAGGTGTAGATTTTTGGTTCGCCGTTCTGAAATGACCGCGTAGAAGGACGTGGCACGTTCACCAGCTTACCACTTCGACGGTTATGGCGTTGGGAGTACGGCCTGTGAAGCAGTATTTGCCTGCACGGGCAAATCGCACAATAGCAGCTTCGTCTGGAACAAAATTTGCTCAACAACACCAAATTAGCCTACCTGGTGAACAAGCATGGTAAGTCGGTTCGCTACTTTTGTGCACGGTTGTCGATCGGAGAGGGCTTTCTCGAGCAGAAGACTCCGCCGACCCTTGGCTCCTATGGCTCTTCATCGGGGTCGCATCTCGCGAAAGCGGCGTCTCGCCCTCTTCCACGAATTCTGCCCTGAAATTTCAGGTTTATATTTTCGCGAAAATAGCACCTCTTTTCTCGCTCAACCACCACGGTATGACAGACTGCGCAAGCTGTCATGAACAGATCAATATCGCCAGCGTTTTCCTAAACAAATCTAATAACGAGACGTGTTTAGCGTCCACCGAGTAGTTTTTATGACCAAGGCTGTTTTGTGCAGAATTTTTCGCTGATTAAAACCCTGTTTTTAGAATCAGCGAAACGACGAAACTAAGAAAGCTATGACGCTTTAAAGGCCGAAAAACGTCAAAAGTTGACCATTTTGGGCATTTTCACACTTTAAAGCTTCATAACTTTTGAAAAATGGTCATTGCGCAGTTTTTGAAACATAAGTTTTGATCAGCGAAAAATAGGCCTGGTCCGATTTCGAAACTCCGTGGTCATAAAAACATCTCCTTATCCTAAACTGCTTCCGCACCATTCTCTTCCCACCTTTCTGTTTGTCCTCAAATCGGCCAACAACTTGTCCGTGTAAAACTCATCCGATCCGGAAACACGCTTGCCATATTTCTGACTGAAACCAAATGGTGCAGCGGGGACGATAAGAATACCCTCCGATCGAGCAGAATTTGAAGCGCATCATGTTGGTAGTCAGAGTTCCGGTCTTATCCGACATCACATATTTGATGGCCCCCAAATTCGGGATCATGCCGAATGACTTGACCTAGGGAAAAGCTTGTGGAGCAGGGCCAGTCGGAAACCTCGGCTTTCTGATCCTTGCCCTCGTCGTATAATAGAATGTCCTAAACAAAAGTTAATGAATCAATTTCGGAGTTTTCACTTGTTGAAGGTAGTAGGCTTGACACATCAGACATCCTTCAACAGTCACGTAGAGCGAAATTGGAACGAGATTCGCGTAGAGAATCAGCTCGCCGAGGAAAGTCTCGAAGATGGAAACATCGGCTTTTTCCGCTAAACATAAAATTACATGGCAAATCCAAGCTATAAGCGTCGATGGCAGCGTCAAGATCTAGCCGGAGCGAAAGGAACAACGTTTTCTCAAATCAAAAAAGTTACCAAGCATCTCGCGCAGCCAATCCTTCGACTGAGCCTGAGCCCACAGCGTCAGAATGGCACAGATCACAAGAAGCCATCCGATTTGCGTGACGACCAGCCAGTTTGCCAGTTTGTGAAGGCGAGATCTAGAGTATGGAAGCGTTCGCAAAACGGAAAAAAGTTACACTTTAGTGCTCTTCCGGACCGAATTCAGGGCAAGTTTCGTGTTGCGTCCGGCGTAGATGACGACACCCACCATCCAGTCTGTTTGGCGGACCTTCGCGCCGCGGAATACCAGATTTGACAGAGCTAAACGTTATTGCGACCCAGTGACAAATCACCTACTAAGTGGCACCTCGGAGATATCACTGGTAATCTTTCTGAACGCGGATATTTCGCTGCCTTGACTAAACAGCCTCTTTGAACAAACAAAGCATCAACGCACTTGTGAACACGAAGTAGGCCATGATTGAGACGGAGCACTCCTTGGAAATAGTCCAATGAACGCGATGGTCGATCACATATCACCAGCGATTCGGATTTGATGAACGCCTAAACAAGGTCAGTCATTAGCCGCAAAAGTTGGCGCTATTTCGGAATAGGGGACCCACTTTGATTACTCTAAAAACCACTTTTTCTGGTGTAATTTTGTGGGCTTGTTCTGAAAAACGGTATCCTAGCCCGTAAAAACGCACATTTGTATAAAATATTTTATCTTTATAAGATGTTTATAGGACAGCGGGCGGTCTTGGCTTAGCCAGCACAATTGTGAGGTAACCCGCTTGGGTTATTATATTTTTCGGCTTGAGCTTGACTTCAGTCAGATTCACCTGGCTGGCCTAGGCTTGGTCTCAATGAATCCAAGATCGGGCTTACTAGCATTTAGCATCATTTATGCATACGTTTTGAGCTTGAAAAACGGAGCTAGGAGTGTATTCTAGCCAAAAGTCGGGCCTGCGCCGCTAGGTTCCCTAGAAGCCCATCAAACTGAAATCAATTTTTTTGTGTGAAATTGTTTGGTTTTAAAGTTAGTATGGTGTTTTTTTCGGAACCAGCGCACAAAACTATCCAAGAAAACATCACACAAACCCCGGTTTTCGTACAATCAAAGTGGGTCCCCTATTCCGAAATAGCGCCCAAAAGTTACCCGTAGCTTTTCAGCCGAGTTGATGTCGTTGGTGTACATAGGGGCTTGACGGATCTTGAGATTTGATTCACCATCCAAGTTTGCTGTTTCGATATAAAGGACACCGCCAGGTTCAGAGGAGCTGAAAAAGACAGAAAAAGATTTGCGGAAACCATCTGGGAAACAACCTTAGCAGGAGCAAATCTGCGGGTACATTTTCTTCACGCCCAATCCGTACGATGTCGCCTTCCCGTAACTAAATACGACATAAAATACACATCGTCAAAGCAACCGTTTTCCATTTGACCCGAATCCATTCACCACTTGCATCATCAAACACCTCGGTGAGGCTGTTGTTGACGCGTCGATCGGAGACTCGACGACGCTGGAATTGGCCGTTTGGGACCAAGGAATACCTGGTTCTGGGCTGTTAGCAGGGGGAAAACCGTTTTTTGTCATCTATGCCTACCTTTCGATGATAGATTATGTATTTTTATAGTGTTTTACTAGTTTTTTTGATCGCTAGAAAATTATAATAATTTTAAAGTCTATCAAAATTCGAAAATTTTGACCTTGTTTCAGACATTTCGACCAAAAAGCCAAAATTTTAATTTTTTGTATTGTTTTTATATCTTAAAACTATGTAAAATGGTATAAAACTTACTTATATTTTGTTATCGGGCCGTAGAGAATCACAGCAAAATATTTGATTCCCCCCTGCTAACAGTCCAGAACCGAATACCTTACCAAGTCCTCGTACAACTCGGTGAACGCGTTGACAACCAAGATGCTGATCAGTGGCGCCCCAGACGAATGCCAAGAAAATGGCGAGATAGGGAAGCACTGCACAGAAGTCGTTTTGTAGATAATCGAAGAAAGAAACCGACCTGCAAAAAAGTCAACATCAGGAAGAAAGCGTTTGACGGCTCGGTCAATTTGGAGAAGAGAAACTTCGGCAAGAAGGTCATCATGTTGTATTTGGTGGTGCGCAGTGAATTTGTCACAGCTAAACGGCTCGGTTCGCTGGCAGGGCTCAACAATCATTACGATGTTCCAAATCCGGACGACCGATGTTGACTTCATGGCGCTGCCCGACTTCTTCCGCGCAACATTGCTAGCAAAGGTAAGGGTTGAAATTTAAAAGAACTCACAAATTTCGATTTGAAATAGCTAAAAAATGGCATGCTGATCGCGAAGGGCGACCGTATTCGCCTACAAAGAAGTAAAAAAGGATTTCGCTTTCGAGGCAGGCTAGAGGAGGCCATTCAAAACACTTATTCAAGTGGTCCTTTCTAATTTGAAGCCGCTCTACTTCCGTTGGTACCTACAGACGACGTTTACAACCGACATTCCTGCGCGTGTTTCTGATCAGTGTGCCCACGCCCTTCCGCGACGATAATTTATTTTCAAAAAAAAATTATTACACATCAAGTAACACGATAGCACAAGGTTTGGGAGAAGGTGGCCCAGAAAAGGAGAAAAAAAACACTGCACACCTACGTGCCAGAAAATTCACGCAAAAGACTAAAGTTCAGCGAATATCACAAGAAATAAATTACGGGGACATAAAATTCACAGTTATTGAAAAAAGAATGGCGGGCCGAAGGGGGGAGCTTAGAAGTGACCACCATTGTTCTGATTGTAGCCCTGCGGTGGGACAGCACCGGGGTAGGGCTGCTGGCCGCCGTACGGTGGCATCACAGGGGCACCTCCAGCATAGCCGGGCATCTGTTGCGGCATCCCGCCCATCGGACCATATGTCAGCATCAGGGGCTGCTGATCCACTGAAAAAATAATTTAGTTGCGAGGTGGAAAATAAAAGGGCTAGACTTTACTTTACTCTCCCCCAAGCCGGAAGTTCCCAAATGTTTTTCGCTATAACTTTTTATATGACAAGGTTTTGCACTATAATTAAAAAAACTCTTAGCATATTTTTTTGATGCTCTATCGAAGGGGTAGCGAAAATCCGGACAAAATAGCGGAAATCACGGAAAATTTTGTGAACTTCCGGCTGGGGGTAAAGTAAAGCCTAGCCAAAAAAAAACCAGAAAAAGAAAAACGGACTCATGCCCCCGCTTTGGGCCTGCTCCTTTGATTCTTCGTTGCGCTCGTTCAATTGCTTCTCCAAGGTTCCAAGGCGTGTCGTCATCTCGCGCATCACTTGAATCATGTAGGGCATCGCAAAGTCCATGATCTTGTGCTTCCAGGCTTCTTCGAGGATGACGTCGGGATGGACGAGATCGTAGCAATGGTACAGGGTCGCCGAGAAGTAGTTGTAAAGTCTGTAAAAAACAAATTAGAATCATATCGAAAATCGGGAGTTTACCTCTCTTCCAGGAAAAAGCTAATCAAATCTTCAGCAATCTCTGGCGATTGAGACTCGGCAGCGTATTCGATGGCATCCTTGTAGAGCTTGTCCTTTTTGCATAGAGCAATGCTCTGCTTCCAGCGGTTATTTCCCTTGAACAGGTAGGCAGAGATGCGACGGAACTCGACCAAATGATGGTTCTCCAAGCGCTGGGCCAAAGCAATATTGTCGAAGTTGTTGTGAGCGTCGATGGAAGCCCTGAGAGAGGAAGCATCCTCTTCCTCGATGTACATCGCATTCAGCGCCTCATTGAGAGACTTGTTGTTCTGAGCTTGAACATGCTTCAAGTAGGGGCGCACAAATTGTAGGTGATCGAGCTTCTTGAAGAACTGGACGGTCCTCGAGAGGTCAAGCCGTGGTGACAGCACGTTCAGGAGATCATTGAGGAGCAGCGGCTTGTAATCGATGTAGAATTGCATCGCCTTGTAGTAGATTTCCACGTTTGCCACCTTGGCAATAATTTCCTTGAAGGTCTGCTCGCGCCACGATTCCGTCGGGTGCTGGATCATCGTCAGAGCCGCATTGTCGTACTCCTCATATTTGTCGTACAGGAAGACGAGCTCGTTCCAAAGATGGGCTTGCTCAGCAGCACGTAGCACCTAAGACCACGAATATGCATCGGAAAGAGAGCAATACCTTCGGGATGTTGACGCGTGACCAGAACAGCTCAAGATGCTCACGCATGCGTGCCGGCTTGTATTTCGAGTAGAGGATTGCCAGTTCGGTGAACATTCCCATGTGGGCGCGCTCAAGTCCCAGAGCAGCCTCGAGCAGGGCTAAAAGAGAGAAGGTTGATCAAAATGCGCAATATTACCAATCAGTTCCTCGAAGAAACCACGATCCTGGTAGTAGTTGTTGAGTTCTTCAAGCTCATCCGCATGGACAACAATTGCCAAGCCGCAAATTTGGGCAAGACGGAACTCGCCCGCATCCACACAAGCAAAGCAGACCTGTAAGAGGAAAAATCATTGCATGTGCAGGAAAAACCGTACCTGCTTCCAAGTCTTGGTGGAATTTGCCTTCCTCGCGGCATCGACCGCTCCTTGGAATTCTTGCAGCTTGACAAGGGTGACCGCGAGCTTGGCAAAGTTAGAGACGTTGGTGAAGAGAATCTTGGCCGCATCAAACATAGCATTGTCGTAACAACGATCACCAATCTAAATGATTGAAAAGCGCATGGTCAAAATATATACCTGCGTGATTTGAGCATGATTGGGGCTCGAGATGAATTCTTCTAGCTCGGCAAGGCGGTTGGTCTTTGCAAGGGCAAAGATGAGCTCCGTATCGATGTATGATTCACGAGACTTCTTGCGAGCCATTTGGAGGTACCGCACCAAATCATCCCATTTTCCTAAAGCCATGAAAAGGCCGGACGTAAAATAATACCGGTCTCCGAACATTTCGCCACAACTTCCATGTAAGTTCCGGGATCGTCCGCCTTGATGAACGAGTCGACAGCTTCCTTCACCAGATTTTGACGAAGCTGCGCCTTGGCCAGGCTTGCCCAAACGTCGGATTGGTTGCATTTCTCGGCAAATTCATAGGCACGGTCCAGATTACCGAGGTTTTCGATCAGCACCTAAACAGAAAAGGCTCTGATCCAAACCTCAAAAAAATTACATTCACGGCCGAACTGTTGACGTCAAACTTCTTGAAGATGGCGAATGCTTCTTCATACAGTTCACTCGAGATCGCAATATTAGCGATATCGGGGGCGTCATAATTATCCAATTTTTGGATATATGTCATCACTCGAGATTGGTCGGCCTGCAAAAGATACAATCTTTAGGACCGGGTTCAGCAGACCTTGATTGCGGTCAATATCAGCAAGTTCTGGAGATTGCGGTGCTCCGAGAAAGTAGAGCCGGTAGAGCCGTCCAGAACGATCTTCTCCAGTAGTTCGATCAACTCATTCGGCAGATCTGCGGCCATAAATGCCTTCACGGTGGTGGAGACTTCCTCAGGATCCTGCGTCTCCGCCAGCGCAGTTTGTACCACCTGAAAATAAAAATGAATACCATCGCAGTATGCATACCTGATCAATCAGAGCCCTCTTGTACTCATTTTGCTCGCTCAGGACGATTTCCCAAAGTCCGAAGTCTCGTCGCCTCACCAAGTATCTACAAGTGATCGTTTAGCAATGTGAATGTACGCTTACCGCGCCAGGTTCTTGAACAGCGAGTTCTCGTTGCACACCTTGATCAGCTCGTCGTCGCACCTGCCGCGCTCGTACGCAAGGAAAGCATAGTGCGGATCACGTTTTTCGCAATATTTGCCGACAACTCGCGAATCGTAGTATTGGTTCTCCTTCAAGAAGCGATCCGGGTTCTGATTGGAGTCGATGTAGATCTTGGCCAGGGCGTTATGCGTTGCAGGATCCTTGGCTCCTTCTTGTACACGCGAGTCTAGCCAATGCGTCAGCAACTTCAGCCGGTTGCGCTTTTCGAGCTCTTCCACAAGCAGGTCGATGTCGAATTTCCCGCGAGTGTTGACGATTAATTGCTTGATGGCATCCTCGCTACAATCAACATCGAGCAGTCCACCAACGACCTCCGGCAAACGTGCAGGATTAACCTAAAAACTATTTAAAAATGCTAAAACAAGCAGTACCTTCTGCACGAAGACTTCGATGTACTTTTGCAGCTGGTTTCGATAGAGGTAGAGGACCAGGTCGTGGACCATGTTATGGCGATCGCAGACGATAATCAGCGGCAGTTGGTCGGAGAGTTTCGCTTCTTTCAGGAAGTTTTTCACTCGCTCCGGATCGTAGACCTCAGACTCGCGGCAGATGCGTTCAACTTCTTTGATTTGATTCGTTCGTGTAGCCGCCTAAATTTTTTTCAAGGCAATAATGAGAAAACCGACCTGTATGTACTTGAAATGAACTTCGGGATCTTGCGAAAAGTTGACGATCGCGCCGAGGAAGTAATACAATCCTGAGAATCCATCAATATATTAAGTAGCCAATTAATACCTTCGTAGGTCTTGAACGATTCGAAGAGATCAATGAGTGCAGCCGTGCCCAGTTGCTCGTTATATTTGGAAGCGATCTTGACGACAATCTGGAGGTTTTGACGGATGTTCGTGGAGAGCATGGCCTTCAGACATTCCAGCGAATCTTCGACCGACAACGAGCCGAAGTAGTTGATCAACCACTATAAAAATCAGAATTAGCTGATTAGCTTGCAAATTACATCAGGGTTGAGCAAATGCGTATGGACGACTGTGCGCTTGATGTCGTAGATGTCGGTGAAGTGCTCCAGAGCGCGTTGCAGCAGGCCAGCCTTCTCGCAGAGCTGCCCGATAGAAGCCCGATCGTAGTGGTGGAACATCTAAACATACATCATAAGACTTTAGAGAGCAATTTTGCCTGATTCGCCAGAATTGCGTCGGCGACCATCGGAGAGTGGATGAGGTTCATTTCCAACAAGCGGGTTTGAAGATTTCCCTCACTTTCTTTGTCGCCTTTCAGGGCCTAAAGCTAAATTGTTGCAAATTTTTGACGAAAAATGTACCTCGAGAAGGAACGCAGTGCATGGTTGAATCGCTTGGACTTCCATGAAACAGTCGACAATTTGGTGAACTTCAGCCAAGGGTTCTCCATTGTTCGATTCCGTGACGAGCATCTTGGCGAATGAGGTGGCCTGCTCGGGATTGGATCGGAGCACCTAGAAGTTTGTTGCGGACAACTCCAGCAGGCAAACCTGTCGCAGTTGCAGGAGATAGTCGGGAACGAATCCAACTCTGTTGGAGTACTGGATGATCTTGTCGAATTGTCCAGTCTCCGCAAAACATTGCACAGCCTTGTTCGGGATGTTTCCCCTCAGGTAGATGGACAGAGCAAGGGTCACATCGTACGGCTTCACGAGATCTCCTAGCTCCTCCGAGCACTCGAGCTTTTGTGCCTAGAAAGAAATAATATGAACGCTGAGAAATACAGACCTGTAGCCATTTTTGCAGCAATTCCTTCTTGCCCTGCGCAACCACCGGGCGGCACAGCTCCAGCGTCTCATACTTGTTCAGCTTGCCTTGTTCGAGGAGGATACTGAAGTACTGAAGAAGCGGCGCTTGCTGTCCTGGAGGGGCAGCGATCTAAAGAAAGCGAATTGAACCGATGATGCATATAAACAGATGACAAAATCCGAAATATCGTAGAAAAAGAATTCCTGAATTACCTGTTGGAAACGCTGGATCGTCGCAGGGGTTCGCAGGATTCCTTGTGGTGCAGTCGCGGCAATCTTCGCTGCTTCCGAATAGTTTCCATTGCCGAAGAGCATGTTGAACTTCCGGACGAAGAGCTCATCAGCACCGGCCAAATCACATCTAAAATAAATTTTTCCCAAAACGGAAAGCAGCCCGTACCGAACAGCGAGCTTCAAGGCCAAGTCGGGGTTCGACATCTGCTGCGTCAGGTAAGGGACCAGGTTGTTCTCGTCAATCGACACGGAAAGCACCTACAGAAAAGATAGAGATGGATATACGAGTCAATTGCATACCTGTCCCTTCCTGTTGACGCCCATGATGCCCTTCGTTTGGGAATATTCGCAGGTTACGAAGATTGTCTCCGTCGAAATGCGGTTCGAATAAATCCGCAGGCCAGTCTCCGCGTCAAATAGGTGCATGAAGCCGTGCTTGGTCACCATGTAGAGGATGCCATGTGCGCCGTTTCCCTAAATACAATATACAATAAAACATAGAAAATAGACAACTGACCAGGAGACTGACGGGAAAATCAGCGGCCGCATCAGCGTTGTAAGGGACATCGGTCTGCTTCTTGGCAAACGCCTGGTTTCCTTGTGCGGGCGTTCCCACTTCGATGATATGCGCCTTGCCGCCCGCTTCATTGCGCGAAGAGAAGCAGAAGAGATTGCTTGGATGCGGGTTGCCTTCGATCTTGAATTGCAGGAAGCATGCAGCATGCCCATCAATCGGCTGCGATACGCGACGCTCGGTGCTGTATAGTTGCAGCTGGCCAGTGATCGCTCCGTCTTTGGCAGCAATCCCAGCGAGGCACAGCCACTTCAGGTCACTCGAAGCGCAGTAGTTGATGATTTGATGGCTATGGAGGTTGGAGTGGCGCTCGAAGACCTTCATCGGAGTCCCTTCGCCTAAAGATACAATACATGACAAGATTTCGTGCTAACAAACCTTCCAGGCTCCAGTGGTAGACGGAAGTAGCCGTGACAAGAGCGATCGTCTCCTCATTCACCCACTTCCAGTAACTAACTTCCTCGGGCATGGTATGGTTTTTCACGCGAGCCTTGCTTTCAATGTTGAACAACTGGAGAGTGGTCCCCGCTAAACAAAGTTCAATATGTTCTATGGTAAAATAAAATACCTTTTAGAGCCATAATTGGACGATTGGGGTTCATGATGACCGAGTCCGCCTGGATGGGTCGACGCGTCAGATTATTCGGGTCGGCCATGTTGATGATGACGACCTGGTTGCTGTCACCAACCTGAAAAGAAAGTAAAATTCTCTCGCCATTAAAGTACCAATTCGCGGATGACGATGTATTTGTCCGATTCCATGGTCAGGGTGTTAAATGTCACCGCCGTTTGCTTTATGCCCAAGGCTAGCAAGTTCAGATGCTCCTGGAACTTGATCGGGAGCGCCATCTTTTCTGAAAAAAAAGAATATTTTGATGCAGATGGATCGGGAACAAAAAAAAAGAGAACATGCGCTACTGACGTTTGCTCGACCCGCTTATATATGGCCAAAATCGCATGTTTCCAGGCTGGGTTTTTTTGCGCTGATTACGAAAAACATTGTCCCGAATCATGAAAGTGATGTTTTCGTGCAAAACTTCACTTTGATTTAGAATTGGGCTAGGGTTTTTCTGCGCAAAAAAACTAGCCAGGAAACACGGGATTTTGGCCATATATAAGTGGGTCCAACAAACCCAGGTACCGTCACAGAACAGTTATTAAAATGATAATATTCTGGGCCTTTTTCGCCTATTTCTTTCATTGCGAGCAATGTGAAGGGCCCCGGGGGCGATGACGTGGAAGAGAACTAGGCAAACAAGGAAGGATCGATAAACAGAGGTTTGGGAGAGAATTCAAGGCGGGCGCCCCCGACATAAATTAAATGCAGAACGATGACTCAGCAAGGATCGATCAACAGCTGGGGAGGATGATAAAGCCTCAGGAGGCGCAGTGCCACTGCGAAACCATGGCGTAAGCAGCGGGGAAAGCGCGCTGCGGTCAGCCGCGCGGCCGCGCGTTATATGGAGAGGCATAGGCGAGAGAAAGCCTCGCAGCGACCAGACAATGGTTGGAGGCAATGAGAAGCTAAGGAATTTGCCGCATCGATGAAAGAAATCGGGACCATGACATCGGAACTAGATATAACAGGAAAAAAAATGACAAAGATGTGATGGCTTTTCTTGAAAATCAGATTTTGCGTCGGATAGGGTAAAAATCTCGATATGATACCCAAAATAGCCCTCCCGCAAAGTAATTTCTGCTCTGCTAGCCTGTATTTAGATTAATTGAATTTATTAACACCAGAAAGATAAAGAAAATATTTAATTTTGAAGTTTGTGTAAGTTTTTGACCACAAATTGGCGGCGGAAATGTCGTGCCCAAAAAATCACAAAAAAGCCGGTTAGAGTTACGCTGCGGGCCGCTAGAAAACCTACGGTACTGTAAATGTTGCAACGCGGAAAGGCGTATTCCTTCGTAACCTATCGTAATCGTAATATCAGCAAACTAATGTGAGGTTTACAAGCAATGCTGGCTTGACTTTTTAGAAGGTTTCTACGCAAAACGTCTTCCTATCAAAATGTCTACCACTACCCAAACTTCTAAATTATCACAAAGTTAAGTTCAGCTACTTGCAAGCGATCCAGTCGAAGGCCGTGATCGAGTGAATGATTAGTTGCGGAAAAATGTTGACCACCATGTATAAACACAGCAGCAGGGATCCACGCAATTGTTTATTTTATTATGCGCCTGCAATCGTCTGCGACAGATACGCGCGCGTGGAAATAGCGTTACTAACTAGCATAGATGATCTGAAATGCATAGGCGCGGTTAATTTTATGTTTAGATGTCAATTTGAAAAGTCTGAATCCTAAAAACAGTGCTTTTAAGATAGCCTCGTTGGCTTTAAAAATCGCTCTGCATCTTCTCTGGACGACGAGTAATTTCAGTTCGATAGATCTGGTCGGTTCTAAGGAGTTGTCTAATGCCTTGTGACGGGGTGATCGACCGGATCACGGGCCTGTTCAACGAAAGTGCACCACGGGCACAGCCGTATTGCCGCTTGCCCAGCAAATCTGGATCTGGATTTCTGGGAAGGGGCTGAAAATGCGCTTTTTAAAACGCCTGTAAAATCTTTTCGTGTTTAAAAGGAGACGTTTTTGACTGTCGTCGTCCTGACCTCGGGACAGGGCCTGTGCAGAATTTTGCGCTGATTCTTAATATGATTACCGGAAGAGCCAATTATCGAAAGTTATAAATTTTTTAAGCCTAAAAACCCCACAAATCGGCCACTCTATATGACATAGAGGGCTTCGGAATGGGTTTTAGAAACAAACCAGCTAGTGTATCTTGTTCAGAAATTTTCTCAATTTTCAAAATTTAAATGTTTGAGTGAAGTCACTTATTGTATAGAAAATGTTGTTCCGAGTAAGATGCGCTAGCGGCGTTTTTCTAAAACCTATTCCGAAGTTTTTTATTTCCATCAAAAGTGGCTCATTAGCGGCTATTTCTGCCTTAAATCGCCGACCCCAAAGTCCGGACGACACTGAAAAACGTCTCCTTGTTAGGATGGTTTGCGTCTGAAGTACTTTTGTCACCAACATAAAATATGCTCAATGACAAAATTTTAACCTAAGAATGGGGTGGACCAATTTCGGCAATTACGTTTACCATTGTTCATCACCAACCACGCTTTTTATAAATACGCAGACCGACGGGCGGGCGGAACCGGAGAAAAAGCAAAGGTCAATGCGGACCGAACAGGGCTCTCATTCTACGACTTGGCACACACCCACTGTTCCACAGGCCGAGAAAATGGGGTTCTCGGTACGGATATTCATCGTTGGATTGCTGTCCACATGTGCTTCACTGCTACTCGTTGCGACCGTCTTCTTGAATGATCTCTATCTGGAAATCCAGGGAATGGATCAAGAGCTATTTGTGGAGATGTCGGCCCTAAAGGTGTGGCTTTATTGGGTTCTGGACTGTTAGCGGGGGGGGGGGGGAATCAACTTTCTGTTTTTCCACCTATATTATGTATTTAGATAGTGTATGTTTTAGTAGTTTTGCTAGAAAGTCATAAAAACCGTTTTTTAATTTTGAAAATTCGAAAATTTTGACCTTTTTTGGTCATTTTTCATGCATTTTTCACCAAAAAGTCAAATTTTCGAACATTTCTATTATTTTTGTCGTTGTTTTCATATCTAAAAACTATGTAAAATGCTCGAAAAGTGGTTTATATTTTGTTATAAGGCCGTAGAGAATTTTGGTTCCCTCCGCTAACAGTCCAGAACCATTTTATTTGTTTTACAGTCATTTCCGGAAAGCTCAAAGCACCTCCAGGTGAGCTTCATTAGAAATGAATTATAGGATCTTGCGGATCGTGCCTGGTTGGACATACGAGATCTGAGAGTGCAGAGTAAGGGCGGGCCTTCTGCCGATTCTTTCGATGGCCAAGGGTCGCACGTCGGTCATTCGTTTGCGCGCTACGTTTTCGGCCGTGCAAAGCGTGAGGCAGGCCAGACAAAGTGCACCTGTGTGGAGTCTTCGAACAAGTACGTAGGTGCCCTCTGGCTCAAATTTTTGAATTTGAAACGTTCACAGAAACTTTGAGCCCGCTAGCTACAGTAGTTTTTGTGTTATTGCAAAAATAAACTTCATTTTACGTCTTTAACCGGGATTTCGTCGGAATTGAGCCTTGGAAAGTATGGTGAAAAGGAAGCGCCACGCCCTTTTTAGCATCGAAAATTTTTTATCTTGCGAAATTCGGCTTAGAAATAGGCTATTTAAGTAATTCTAACAAGGCATTATCAACCATTTTAAAGCACGATCTTTCACATTTCAGATGCCCCGCTGGGAAACCGGGAGTACCAGGGGTTCCTGGAACACCAGGCCAAAATGGACAGCCTGGAAAACCCGGTCGGGCCGGAAGACCTGGATTGGTGATTGTGGATAGCGAGGGAGGATGCTATATTTGCCCACCGGGACCTTTGGGCCCTGAAGGAGCACCAGGTCGTCCCGGGTCTACGGTGAGAAATGACGATTAGGTGCACCAGGACCTTTTAGGGCCCACCGGGTCTTACCGGATCTCCAGGCGAACACGGACGACAGGGTGAACCGGGATATCAAGGGCCCGTTGGATCGATCGGGGAGTCGGGCTCACCAGGCACGATGGGTCCGCCTGGTCGACCTGGCCGGGATGCCGTTATCGGTCTGTGTTATGCATTGCTACGTTGCCTCCGTAATTCCGTATGACCGTAAATAGGTGTGATTAGTTTTTTCGGTTCTTGCAAATAACCACTCACAAAAGATATTTCTGCAATTTTTATTAAAGATTGCTCATATTTCGACTATTTCCAGCATCTGGAGTGGTTTAATGAAAGAAATTGATGTAGGAATTCCTAAGAACCGCTTCTTTTCGCTTACATAGCTTTTGCGGCGAGAGGGCGGTAACGCACGTTATTGGGGCGTCATTTGTACTGCCATGTCGCCAAAATGTACCGGAACTATACTCGAGATTTTAGGGTACTTACCCGAATTTTGCCATAATTTTCCTCTATACATTATAGACACTAACGATTTCAGCAAGAGGATCCAAGGGACCGCCAGGCGTTCGTGGCCTTCGTGGTTCTGTTGGTGATGCAGGACAACCAGGCGAGCCAGCTCCGCCTGGGCCACAAGGGCCTCCTGGTGAACAGGGAGGCCCAGGGCCACGTGGTCAGCCCGGTTATGATGGAGGCCCCGGGTTGGATGGTGTGGATGGTGGACCCGGAGAAGATGCCGACTATTGCCCTTGTCCAGATCCGTAAGTGGGAAGACTACAAAGAGTACTGATTACAGTGGGACACCTACCGTACCTCCTCGTCCCTCTCGGCCGCCTACTGTACGAAGCCATACCGCCTCCAAAACCTCGCCGAAAGACCGCCAACAGGTTCGTGGTCTGCTTTATGCCCCTAAGCCCTAAGCCAAAGCCACCCTAATCCACGCAATCCCGTTCCCTAATCAAAAGGCACGGATAGGAACATCGGTACGCAGCGCTCCTATGCACACGGAACTGTCCACGGACGGTGTAATTCGTACTCTCTAACTGTAAAGTGTTTTTACTCAAGATTTGCAAAAAGAAAAAGGATAGCAAAAAAAGCAAAAGATTTGCAAAGGTTTGGGCTCAAAAGCGCGAGCACGCGATCGATAAATCAAACGTGCCTTGTAAACCTAATATGCTGCTCTTCCAGATCGGTCGCCTTACACCAGCGGTAACGCTGAGCAGCCAGGAAGCGCCGTGGATTCGAAAGATCAAGGTAAATTGGGAGTGACCGGTTTGTGACACCAGTTTACAGCGTGTATCAAAAAGCGCCCTCGTCAGTCAACAACAAAAAGCGGAAGGGGTGATCAGGCGAAGCAGGAGTCAAGCTCGGACACCAGGACAGCAACAGCCCGATCATTCTGCCGTCATTGTAAACCAACATAAGACGACAAATAGCAACAAAACCCAAGCATAAATCGTTTATTCTACAAAAAAAACCGAAAGACGTTAGAAAGCTTTTTGCTGTTGATAAAATTTAATTCGGAAGGTTCTGACGACATCGAGGTCATTTCTGACGAATCGGCGGCGGCGCTTCCGGGCTGGCAGAACTCGAGTCCTGAAAAGCGAAAGATTGCTTTTAGCTTTTTTGTTTGTATTACCGTAGATTGCTCCTCGCTGCCCTGGCTCAAACGCTTGTTACTAAAATCCTTTTTTCCGGGACAATCCATGTGATAACCTGTGAGTGATGACGGCAAGGGCGTCATCGATTGACGGATAGAAATCCGACAATTTTCCCATTGCGCCCCGTTTCAGGAGCAATTTACGCGTAGAAGCTGTAGTTCGGAAAATTTACGATTTGGTTTAGGAAAGCATACTCTTGGCGCCGCAGATGTAGTAGATAATGTCACGTCCCCGCAGTTCATCGAGAACCTCAAGGAGTACAGGGTGTTACAAAAACAAGACACGCAATCGTGTCCGATTTTTACGATTGAGGTATCTATCGAAAGCTCTCGAGGGAGGTACGGAGATCTCTTCTCTCCGATTTTTAAAAGGCCATCCGCGGGTCACTCGAACAGACCCCCTTAGGGCTTGGCACAGTTTTTTTTCGCTCCGGTTTTTTCGACGCCATATGAAAGAGCATGGTCGAATTAGTAGGACTGTATGATTTTGAGATTTTTAAAAGTTCATTTTTGGGGTTTAAATGACCGTTAAAGTCGTTCACCCCAAAAAATTATCTTTGAAGTTACTGAATCAAATTTGCTGAAAATTTGTGTCAACACCTAATTTGGGGCGGGGATCATTTTTCTAATACATTGCTAAGTCCGAAAATCACCGGAACATAGGAATCTCGCGTACTCAAAACAGTTTTTCAAAATTTTCTATTTTTTAGAGTGTTGCCTGTAACGTGAAAAGAACATAGAAATTTGCGCAAAAATTTTCTGCATCGAGTGTTATATTCTCTAGAGTGCAGTGAACACTCTAAAAATTGCAAAAATAATAGTTTCTTAAATTTGAAAGTAGCCCTGTACGTCGAAGACGCCTGCGTATTATAGAAAACAGAGTTGTGCATGCCTTCTTGAGATAATTCCCAACCTAATACAAAAAAACGGAAAAATAAATTCCTTTGCTAAGAGAAAATAACGAGTTATTGGAATCGAACTCGCGATGGTTCGCCTGGGGGGCACTGGGGACAGCCACTAGAGGGCGCCGCCGCCTCCCAGGCGAACGACCCGAGTTCAATTCCAGCCCCCTCGTAGAAACCGAATTTCTTTTTGCTCTTTTTTGCATTCGCCGTGATTTGGGTCGTAGATGCAAATCTATGCTTTTCCCTCCACACATGATCAAATTTTTTATTTTTGGCTGGAATCAAGGCCATTTTTGTAATTTTTAGAGTGTTCACTGCACTTTAGAAAATACAACACTCGATGCAGAAAATTTTTGCGCATCTTTCTATGTTATTTTCACGTTACAGGCAACACTCTAAAAATAGAAAATTTTGAAAAACTGTTTTGAGTACGCGAGATTCCTATGTTCCGGTGATTTTCGGGCTTAGCAATGTATTAGAAAAATGATCCCCGCCCCAAATTAGGTGTTGACACAAATTTTCAGCAAATTTGGTTCAGTAACTTCAAAGATAATTTTTTGGGGTGCGCGAGTTTAACGGTCCTTTAAAGTCCAAAAATGAACTTTTAAAAATCTCAAAACCATACAGTCCTACTAATTCGACCATGCTCTTTCATATGGCGTCGAAAAAACCGGATCGAAAAAAATGCTGTGCCAGCCTCTGTTCGGTTGGCTCGCAAACGGCCTTTTAAATTCCCGAATTTTTATAACATTTACCAACATTTTTTCGCAATTGCCTGCATTTTCGATGCTTTTTCCCATGCAGTTTTTAAGAAAAAAAACCCATTTTCCAAATTTTTAAATTTTTCCTGGCAGCCTGAGGTCGGCTTTTTGAAAGGAATTTGAGAAAACCCTGCTGGGATGGGATTGAAGCCGATTAAATTGAGCTGTTGCCGAAAATTGTGTAAATTATGCCCAAAACCATGAAAATCGGGTTATAATTTCGGGAATTTTAAAAATAAGAGAGAGAGAAGGCTTTCGATAGATACCTAAATCGTAAAAATCGGACATCACTGCGGACCGCTAGAGGGGGTCTTATTTTGGGAAACACTGTAGACACAATTAGTCAGCTTTTTTGTTTCGAGACAAGAAATTATGCAGCGTAATCTAACGTCTTTAACTACCTCCGTGAGAATATCCAATCCCATATGATCAATGGCCGTCACGCGCGAAAGGTCGAGCAGCAGAAAACGGAAAAAAGATTTCCGGCCCGGCGAAGTCGGTTCATTCTGAAGGGAGGTCAGTTATGAATCAGTGCATTGGGTCTTTACCAAGGCGGCTTCCCATTCAGCCACCGCAATCGTCGCTTGTTGTTTGCATCTAAAAGCACTCTTACGTCCTGATCGAGGTGATCCGATCTACAGGGTGTCCCAAAAAAAACCCCCTAGCCGGCCGCAGACGGGTCCGATTTTTACGATTTAGGTATCTATCGAAAGCTCTCGGAAAGGCGAGTCCAGCACGTCTTGCGGATTTGCGAAATGTCGGAATTTTTTGCTCGATTTTCGGCATTTTTCAGGCCAAAAGGGCAGACTTTTTTGTTCAAAACGCAATTTAACCGGTTTAAGCGCTGTCCAAGCTGTGTTTTGGCAAACGGCTTTCAAAAAGCTGCCGTTGGGTTGCCAGGAAAGACGTAAAAATTCTTAAATTGCGGTTTTTGTAAAAAACCCCCTGGTCAGAACAAACTCAGAAAATCCGCCCATTTCGCAAAAACATTAGTAACTGATGGAAAAATTTCCAAATTATGAAAATCGAAGCGACGTGCTGGACTCGCCTTTCCGAGAGCTTTCGATAGATACCTAAATCGTAAAAATCGGACTCGTCTGCGGCCGGCTAGGGGGGTTTTTTTGGGACACCCTGTACCTTTCAGCGTTGAGGAATAAAATGGGCCCGTCGAAGCGCAGGATGCGAATTGCCGGACTTGTCCCTGGGAACGTCATCTTTTCCCATGACAACCTAAAAGGTTTTCTAAATGGTTTTTAATATTTCTAAACGTAAAAACTTTACAATAAAATTACAAAAAACAACAATTACAAAAAATATCGATGTTTCGGCCCAAAATGGCCGATTTTTTTACCAAAATTTCCACTTTTCGACTTTTTAAAAACCTTTTAGGTAATTTTTCTAGTTGAAATATAGTTATACATTACTAAAAACACTGCTAAAACACTTTCTTGAACTGATTAAGCATCCCCCCCGATAATGCATAAGAACCTCGGAAATAATTCTGACCATTGAATGCGGAAGATGACGGTGACGAGGCTTATCACCACGGAAATCATAAGCCCCGGCATGACATCAATTGCAACCGTCGCCACAAAACACACCACCCACACGAACTAAACAGATACTGATATATTTAATCGTTTCAAACACCATCACCGCGTCGATCTTGCTGTACTGATAAAGATTTCGGAGCGTTTCGCCGCATTTCACGAACATCCCTTGAAGCGCCACAGTAATCACCGTAGCCAGGATCCACTGAATAACGTTTTTTTGTGGCTATACGGGGTGTCCGAAACCCCTCAAGCCGGCCGCAGACATGTCCGATTTTTACGATTCAGATATCTATCGAAAGCTCTCGGAAAGGCGAGTCCAGTGCGTTTCTTCGACTTCCAAAATTTTGCCCGTTTTCTAACATTTACTAATATTTTTGCGAAACGGGCGGATTTTCGAGATTTTCTGACCAAGGGGTTTTTTACAAAAATCAAAATTTAAGGATTTTTAAGCACTTCCTGGCAGCCCAGCGACAGCTTTTTGAAAGCCATTTGTGAAAACACAGTTTGGATAGCGCTTAAACCGGTTCGTTGCGCTTGTGACAAAAAAGGCGTGTCCTTTTGCAGGAAAAATGTCGAAAATCGAGTAAAAAAATTCAAATCCGAAATGCGAGAGATGGGCTGGAGTCGCCTTTTCGAGAGCTTTCGATAGATATCTAAATCGTAAAAATCGGACAAGTCTGTGGCCGGCTAGGGGGATTTTTTTCGACAGCCTGTAATCCGTGAAAACCTCATCGTACTGTTGATACATACCATTGGCAGGGGTTCAATCAGCGGGCCAAGCCACAGTATCAACGTCAACAGCAGCAAACAGGAGAATAGAGCCGACAGCTGGAGAAACAAAACACTCGTTGGATTACGGCATTGTGTTCCACCTGTGTTTTTGAGCCGCTGCTGACGTTGACCATGGTGCGACTGAGAGATGTCGTCACTGGGAATACAGGAAATAGGCCAGATATCAGTGACATCACCCCCAACGCCAGGAATTCCTGAAATACGCATCAAAATCCGTTTATTAGGTTGTACATGTAAAAAAGCAGGGTTCTTTTCCGTTATCAGGGGGGACCAACCTTTTTCTTTGGCTCAAATTTTTCAAATATAAATGGTGGCAGTGGTCTGAATGGTTTTTTACTATTCCTAAACGTGAAATCTTTGTAAATTTGCATTAGAAAACGTCAAAATTTCGATTTTTCGACCGAAAATGGCCAATTTTTTGACGAAAATGTAGATTTTTTCATAGTTTTGGATAGATTTTCTCGTCGAAATATAGTTATAGATTACTAAAAACGCTGTTAAAATTAAATTAAATTAAAAATATAGATTTTTCGGGCAAAAAGGGCCGATTTTGGACAAAATTTCCACGGTTTTCAACATTTTAAAAAGTTTTAAGATAGATTTTCGAGTCGAAAATAGTTATCGATTACTAAAAACGCTATTAAAACACTTCCTATTAAGTTAGTAGGCATTTCTAGACTTTACAAAAAGGTCAGCTGTCTGACCTGCTGCCCATCGAGGCGATATTTGAATTTCCTGGCGACGACCTTCGACATTGACACATGTACCGACAGTGCAACAACAACCAATGGGATTGCATGGAGAAGGCAAATCGGCAGAATATGCCACGTCGGCCATGTGGGGGACGGTAGCCTGAAGATGTACAGGGTGTCCCAAAAAAAAAGCACCCCTCCAGCACTTTGCCGTATTGCATCCGATTGATCCCAAAATTGGACGAGAGGTGTATCAGACCCTAAATAACCACAATCCTGAGTTATAGCCCGATCGCTCCAGTAGTTTTCGAGATACAACAAAAATAAACTTTATAATGCGTTTTTCATAGGGTTTTTGTCGAAATCGACCTTTCGAATATTAAGTGAAAATAAAGCGGCCAGCCTTCTTTACCCCTAGAAATTTTTTCCTGATAGAAAATTGATCAAATAACCGTTGATTTCAACAATTTTTGTAACCGAAGTCGCCCCCGATATTAAGCGAAATTAAATCAATGCAAAGTCCAAAAAGATAGCGGAAAAAACTGTTAAGAATCGCGTAAAAAATAGTATTTTCGCGATAACTCGAAAATTACTGTGGCGATCGGGCTATAACTCAGGATTGTGGTTATTTAGGGTCTAAAACACCTCTACTCTAATTTTGGGACCGATCGGATGTGATACGGCCAAATGCCGGAGGGGTGCTTTTTTTGGGACACCCTGTAGAAACAATCGAGTCAGGCTCAATTTTGGGAAAGTGTAATATTCTTAAAATGGTACCCGGTTGGGATCGGGCCGACAACTTTCCATTTGAACTGGGCGTTTATCCCACCAAAGTGTTCGCCCACCAGGTACCCAACCATCTAAAAGACTTTTTCGAACAAACTGACAAGGAGACGTTTTTGAGTGTCGTCCGGACTTTGGGATGGACCCAAGCCTATCTTCTGCAGAATTTTGCGCTGATTCCGAATATGGTTACCGTTTCACGGAATAGCCAATTCCCGAAAGCTATGAGCGATTTAAGGCAGAAATAACCACAAATCAGCCACTTTTGACGGACATTAAAAGCTTCGGAACAGCTTTTAAAGCTAAAAAAACAGCTAGTGCATCTTGTCCAGAAAAAAATTATCTATAAAATAAGTTACTTCGCTCAAAACAAATTAAAATTTTGAAAAATGATATAATTAGTGGCATCAAAATGCATAAACTTGTTCAATTTTTCAAAATTTTGATTTAAATGGTACCAGGTTATAGAGCATTTTTTCTGAACAAGTTGCACTAGCTGGTTTTTCTAAAACTTATTCCGAAGCCCTTTATGTCCATCGAAAGTAGCCAATTCATGGGGGTTTTCGGTTTAAATCGTTCATAACTTTCGATAGTTGGCCATTACGTAAAAAGGTAACCATATTCGGAAACAGCGCAAAATTCTGCACAAACTAGGCTCGGTCCCATCCCAAAGTCAGGACGACACTCAAAAACGGGCTACGGTTTACTTTACCCCCAGCCGGAAGTTTTTCGCTATAACTTTTTTATTTTACATTATTGTAGGCTCAAATTAAAACTCTTAGTATATTTTTCGACGCTCTATCGAATGGCGTTGCGAAAATCCCGACAAAATAAGCGCAAATACCGACAACTTTGAGACCCTTCGGCTGTGGGGAGTAAACTCTTACCCAAAAACCGTCTCCTTGTGAGAACAGAGGTCGTCGCAAAAACGTATCCAAAACATGGCCTACCATCATGAATTCATATGGGATTGGCACATTGCAACGGAAGTATCTTTGTAATTCAGTTGTGATTAGGTCTTTGTAACCCCAGAGGTTGACGACGGCGAACCAAGAGCAAATCAGAGTGTCCAACGATATCGCCTTGTAAGATGATCCCAAATGCCACAGTACCTACAACACAATGAGTCGCGATTTAAGAATACTATTTTAATAAAAAAATGGAGCCGTCAACTTACTACAAACAGATAGCCGGGACCAGAAGAACGTGGCGCCTCAACACCCAACATATACGGAAGCTGGGAGACGAGCACGTGAACCGCAGACCCTGAAAATGCAAGAAATTTCTTTCTTAGGATCGAATTTTTCAAATATAAATAGTGCGAGTGTTTCTAAATAGTTTTTGACTATTCCTAAACGTGAAAACTTTAAAAATTTTTATTAAAAATATCAAAAATATCGATTTTTCGAAGGAAAATAGTAGATTTTTCAAAAAATTTAGACTTTTGAAAAGTTTTCTAGTTTAAACATACTTAAATATTACTAAGAAAACTATTAAAACACTTTCTATTAAGTTAATAGGCATTTCTAGACTTATACCCCCCTCGATAATGCGAAAGAACCAAATTTTGCGAAATTTTGTGGTACTAGATCTGCCTTACCGGTTGTGAAGGCAGACATGACAGCATCGGATACATAGGCGAACACACACTGCAATTGCAACATCCAGAACAACAACTAAAACAAATTAATTGAATTGAATTGAAGCATGACATTACCAGCCAGAGACCGACTGCAAAAGTGAGCGTGGCCGAGATCTCGGTCTCCAAAATGCGCTGAAAAAAGAGACGAATGTTCGGGGCACTTCCGTCGTCAAACCTCGTTTCCAAGATAATCTCGAACTGCTTGATTGGCAGTGGCCGACATGAGGGAAAGCACCGCGAAGCTCCCTGAACATTTCCTCGTTCGCCTAATTTTCCATTGCAATCCTATGACGTGGTTTCAAAATTCTACATAACGCGGATCTCTTCCAACACCCCATGGGGGGCCCATGGCACCCAAAATTAGCGGCAACCAGGGTTGAAAAGCCGCTTCGCGACTTTTCAACCCTGGCTCCGTCTCGGGCCCATACTATTCTGCCCTTTGCATAATTGTCCTCCATTCAGAAGACAAAAAAAAATGAAAAACAACCCTTTCTACCGCTTTATATAGGCGACGGCCCACTTCCGGTCCATGCTAATTATTCCTAACAAAGAGGTTTTTACAAAAACCTAAATTTAATAGCGAAAATGGCTAATTTTTAAAAATCTGATATGTGTGCAGTCATCCCTAGACCATTACGCACCTAATGACGTATCATACGTAGCCTAATACCCGTCCCTTCTTGAGATATCCTCCGGACAGACAGACGGAAGTGGATGCAAAGTGGCACACACACACACACACACACACAAACACTATTTTTTTATATATAGTAGGATAAGGCCCTAATCAACGCGGCACTCCTATTGACTCAAAAATGTATGGGGGCCAAAACTTCTAAGCCTGATAACTTTGAAACTAAAGCGAACCTTAAAAAAAGCTTGTTCCAATGTTGTAGAATGGAACACGGCAAGTCTCATGATACCAAACCCTAAGAAAGCTGAATTCAGAAAGTATCAAAACGCAAGCGGTTTTTGTTAGCGGCTTAAAAGTAGTATTTCGCAGGGCTAACTTGCCGTCTTTGGTATCATTCGGACCGTAAAATTCCACTCTACAATAATTGATATTGAGTTTTCAATAATAAGCCCGTTTGAAAAAGTTATAAGAGCTTAAACTTTTTTGCGCCGCTACGCCCGGCTCCTATGGATGCCTTTGGCCCTCCCGGAAAATTGTCGTTTTGGGCTGTTTGATTGGCCGTTTTCAGTTTCCAACGTGTTTTTTTGCCCATTGTTAACATTGTTTTCATAAAGTACCCAGAGAAGCGTGCCGTGACGTTCCGAAGAAGATATAGATGAAGGCCGGTAGACACGACGCATACAATCCATTGATGGCACCCACACCGGCCAGGTAGGCGTATGCGATTCCTAGGTACAAGATGGCAAATTCATACCATCCTACCCTGCGGAACCTGTAGAATTCCGACGGTCAGGCCACCCATGACGTCGCCAAACAAGTTTTCCTAAATCATCCGGTAAGACTCCAGATACCCCCCAGTTGCCCCCCAACTTTTATATCTCGGCTCCCTGTTGATCTACAGGTGTGTAAAGTACACCAAAATGTTCGTCTTGCTCTGGCGAGTATTTTGGGATACTTTACACACCTGTAGATGGACAGGGAGCCGAGATACAAAAGTTGGGTGCCGGCTGGGGGGGGGGGGTAAAGTGCACTCAATCCAAAAAAGGTACCCGGATACTGTACGTAGGCAGCCAGCTAAGAATTGGCAATAGCCGGCAGAATCGAGCCCAGATGGCCGGACCCGAGACGCAGCCAAACAGAAACCTCTTCGCATGGTCGCTGAATGAAAAAATCATATTTTTTTATGGAGCCACTCTCACCGCGCGGCGCGCCAGATCGAAGGCTTGATGTCGTCAGCCTCTAAGCAGAATTCCTTCTCGAATCGCTCCTAAAAGGGTGCAAAATGGCAATCGAAACACTGGGTCGGCTTTCGCTTTTTCTCAAGAGCAACCTGATTCATCGGAACTCGACGGACGACGCTGGGTCCCGAGTTTTTCAGGGCGGCTAAAGACGATTGTTTTTCACTCACTTCGCTATGGTATTCTCACCGTAGTAAACCGAATCGCATCTCGTCACCGTCAGTTCTTCATCGCCAGATGAATCATCTGAAGTACTCATGGCAGTTGACTTGTAAAAGAGCTGGTCTAGAGCCCGAATGATTTTTTTTCACGATGACATTTTGTTCAGCATATGCAATTCTATTCATGCAAAGATCAAGTTTTTTCCGATCCATCCCGATTTCGAACATACTGGGTGACCAAAAAAACCCTCGGCATTTGGCCGTTTTCTGTCTGATCGTGACCAAATTTTTACCAGCGATGGGGACCCATAAAAACTATGTGCGGCTGCATTTTCTCAGCAATATATTGTAAAACAAAAAAGTTATATCGAAATGAAGATGTATTTTGCCGATTTCAGTAGGATTTCGGGGATTTTGCCCACGAGATGATTAGCAAAAATAGAGAGGGCACTTTTTCCACCGTGAGAAATTTTTTGATTTACGAAAATACATCTATAGTGGGACTTTTCATCGCTTTTTTTATCAAAACTGGCAGTAACCGACCCGAAAATGCATACTTTTCGGAAAATTACTCAAAACCGGCATGCCCATTGCGAAAACATAACCAAAATGAGTACCAGAATTTCCCAAAAATTAGTTTTTTAGCGATAACTTTTTGTTGTACAATATTTTGCTTAGGGAATTCGGCTGTACATAGTTTTTATGGGTCCCCATCGCTGGTAAAAATTTGGTCCCGATCGGATCAGACGGCCAAATGCCGAAGGGGTTTTTTTTGGGTATGCAGAGCTCCTCATGATCGCTTGCAGAATTTGAATAGCCCCCACCCGTCCCAACAGAAATTATTGCTGCACTAACAACCTAACAAAACCCGTTAATTTCCATTGATTCGGCGCCGTCCTCCCCGATACGATCCGAGAGTTCAATGCGACCACCAGACGCTTCGTTTCAAATTTGCCTAATCCCCTCCACCCCCAACCCAAACATTCACCAACAAGCGCTTTTTAAAGTGCATTATCCTCGCCGATATTATCATTTCCTTGTTTACCAGGGGGCTGCTCCCGCTATGTGACCTGCTGTGGCAAAACGATTTGCTTGTTTCGGTTCCCTTTGGGACGGGCGTCATTTCTCATAGACACCCGAGCACAAATTTGTTGATCTTCATCCAACGGCGCCGCACTTATGTATTTCGCACTGATCGATTCGCTTGGCACGATCTTTTGGTCGAACATTTTTCTAATATTTCTCTCTCATCCGTGATAATCAAGAAGTTATGGTTCTGGTCTGTTAACGGGGGGGGGTAGCAAAATTTTCCCTGTGATTCTCTACGGCCCTACAACATATATAAACAATTTTTATAGCATTTTACGTAGTTTTTAGATATAAAAACAATAGAAAACTTAAGTAAAAATTTTGGAAATTTGACTTTTTCGTCAAAAATTTATGAAAAACGACCAAAAAAGAGTAAAAATTTACGAATTTTCAAAATGTTTAAAAATGGATTATTTTATAATTTGCTAGCAATCAAAAACTACTAAAAACACTCTAAAAATACATAATATGACATCAATAGGTGGAAAAACAAAACTGGCTTTCCTCCTGCTTAACCCCCCGCTAACGAAGCAGAACCCATTTTCCTCATATTTCTCTCTTTTGCGTGATAATCAAAAAGTTATTAATTCCCGAATTTTGAGGTATGGATAGAGTAGGGGAGGCGTCAACATCGACGCCAATCGACATCCCATCCATACAGGCCGGTATCGATCAGAAAAAGCCTGCCAAGCAAATTCTTCGCGAATCTGTCAGGTGCCTTAGCATATTTTTCTTGGAGACCCTGTTTTTCAGGAAGATCGGTGCCCACTATGCCTACCCCTTCCGCAGTGCTTCTAATTTCTGGCAAACGGTGCTCCAGTTTATTCCGATCCTGCAGTGGCTCCCAAAATATCGGGCTAAGGTGATTCAAAAATATGATTTTTAGGCTGAAGTTCAGTTCCCCGTTATCGTAGCGGGTAGTAAAATATGCCAAAATACTCGCCAGAGCAAGGCGAACATTTTGGTATACTTTACACACCTGTAGACAAACACAGGGCCGAGAAAAAATAGTTTTAAATAAAATAACTACTCTAACCAGATTTTTATCTTTTTTTAGAAAGACTTACTGCCGGACATGATTGGAGGGGTGACGACCGGTGTGATGCACGTACCTCAAGGTAATTTGTCAGCAACTCTAGCAAGAGATTTCACAAAAAGTTCCGGGAAAATGATACCCAATTTCTAGGCATCGCGTACTCGGTTTTGGCGGGTGTCCCTCCGGTCAACGGTCTCTACTCGTCGTGCTTCCCGGATTTCTTCTATATGGTTTTCGGGACATCCCGTCATGCCTCAATAGGTAAAGTGGCATCATGCACATGTGGCTATTTGGGTTTTAGGTAGTTTCGCCGTAGTCGCCTTGTTAGCCGGTGTGGCCAATACGAATGTGCAAGAAATGATGCGTATGCGCGAACAGGTCCGTTTTCAACTAACAACAACGAGACGTTTTTGAGTGTCTATGGAGTTTCGAAATCCTATCTTATGTAGAATTTTGCGCTGATGAAAACCTCGTTTCCAGAACCTGCGAAACAACCGAAATAAGAAAGTTATGAGGTTTTACAGGGCGAAAAACGGCGAGAGCTGGCCATTTTGCGCATTTTTCCGATTCTAAAGCTTCATAACTTTTGAAATATCGTCGTGTCGCAGATCCTGAAAACTTCGTTTTGATCAGCGAAAAATTCTACACAAAATAGGCTTGGTCCCGTTTCGAAACTCCGTGGACACTAAATCTCAAAGTACTTTCCAGAACGGCTCCTTCTCGGCAGACCCGTATAGTCCGGTTGAAATAGCAATGACCCTAACGCTGTGTGTCGGCATTATCCAGGTTTCCCTCCCATAATTCTTCAAAATTCATTTTTTTCTAGCTTTTATGCGGTCTACTTCACCTCCAGTTCTTAACTAATTATTTCTCGGATGCGTTGGTCTCAGGTTTTACGACGGGTTCGTTTCAGAATTTGCTGCTGCTGAATTCGTAACAAAATCTAAATTCTAGGTGCCGCTGCCCATGTGCTAATTGAGCAATTCGACGATCTCCTCGGTGTCAAAATCCCCAAATATTCCGGACCCGGTTATATTTTCAAGGTAATTCCGGTTCTTTCGCATTATCGGGGGGGCGTACCTTTTTGTGTAAGTCTAAGGATGCCTAGTAAATTAATGGAAAGTGTTATAAGCTGTTTTTAGTAATATATAGCTATATTTAAGCAAGAAAAACTATCTAAAAACGTTAGAAAATGTTGGAAAAAAGTCGAAATTTTTGTCAAAAATCGGCCTTTTTGGTCGAAAAATAGATATTTTTGATGTTTTTTTAATACAAATTTGTAAGGTTTTGACTTTTGCTATATTAAGCTATATTTAAGCTAGAAAAACTATCTAAAAACTTCAAAGAATGTTGAAAAAGTCGAAATTTTGCTCAAAACCCGCTCAAATCTATATTTTTATATTTTTTAAACAATTTTTTTGAAGTTTTCAAGTTTAGGAATCGTGAAAAATATTTAGAAACACGGCCGCTATTTATATTTGGGAAATGAGATCTTAAAGGGATGCCGACGGCATAGTCAATCAGTTACGCGCTGGAAAGAAAATGTCTCTGCACCTCTCCCCCGGGCGCGCTCTCTGCTCTGTTGGCTACTTGCCAATTTGTTGATGGGGGGGATCGACACATGCCGTCGGCAGCCCTTTTAAGAAACAAAAAGGTGGTTTTCAGAAGCTATTTGCGCTGATTGTGCGTATTCCCGAGGCGAAGCCGATAATCCTCATCGTTTCGGCGTTGTCGCTCACCTTTCTTTACATCGGTAAAGAATACCTGACGCCGTTTTTGAAGAAGCGTTTTGGGCTAAAATTGCCGATTCCTTGGGAACTGATTTTGGTGAGCAAGCGAGCATCTTTAGAGCAAAGCGTCTTTAGATGGCCATTGGATCAGCCTCCTCATATTTGATGAGCATGAGCCAAACTTATGGTGTACCGGTGGTTCAGCACATCCCGATCGGGTACGTCGAAGCCGCCAACTTTTTCGGTTCGGGACTGTTAGCGGGGGGACCAAATTTTGCCGATGATTCTCTACGGCCCTATAACAAAATATAAACCATTTTTATAGCATTTTACAGGTTTTTTAGGTATAAAAACAATACAAAAAAATAGAAATTTTCGAAAAATTTTGACGTTTTGGTCAAAAATGTATGAAAAATGACCAAAAAAAGACAAAATTTTCGAATTTTCAAACATTTAAAAAATAGTTTTATAACTTTCTAGCAATCAAAAACTACTAAAAACATTATAAAAATACGTATTTTAGCATAAAAAGCACAACAAACAGATCGAAAAACGGCTCCCCGAACTTTGCGGCGATCACTTTTGCGGCGCGAATTTTGCGGCGCGAACTTTGCGGCGCGAACATTGCGGCCGAATTTTGCGGCGCGCACTTTTGCGGCGCGAACTTTGCGGCGCAACAGATATTAATGGAAATCATTTAAATTCAGAATTTGTTTTGGGTTCAGGATCAGATTTCAGAGGAATTTCAGAAATTCAGAATCAGAATCACCGCCAGTTTTGGTTTTGTAATATTCCATACAAATTAACTGCAACTTTCCGCAATGCCGTGACAAGAGACCTCTTGAGGGCGTCAGGCAAGGTGGGCCGTCGCTTCGGATGGGCTGCCGCTCCACTCTTTCGAAATCGAGGCGCCTGGGCGCTTCGCGCTGCTCGGGCGCCCCGATTTCGAAACCCTGTACGAGCTCGCACCCATCCGAAGCGACTAGGCCCCGGGTGGCACGAAGCCTTTTTCTAGTCGCAGAGCGAAAGAAATAGCGATGAATTTCCCCCAAATCGAGTGACTCCTGTTGCAAAACAGTCTCCTAACGTTTCGATGACGAAATTGGGATGCAGTGCAAAAAAATAACCTAAGGCCTGTGCCTAAGCATCGCGCCGCAATCTTCGGCCGCAATGTTCGCGCCGCAAAATTCGCGCCGCAATCTTCGGCCGCAAGGTTCGCGCCGCAAAATTCGCGCCGCAAAGTTCGCAGCCGCAAAATTCGCGCCGCAAAGTTCGCGCCGCAAAAGTACGCGCCGCAAAGTTCGCGGCACCCGAAAAACAAAAAGTGGTTTTCCCCTGCTAAACCGCCCCCCCGCTAACAGTCCAGAACCACTTTTTCTTCACGAATCGTCTTTTCATCACAAAAACTCATAACTGAAATAACATTTTAAAATTTATTCCTAGAGTACCAGAGCCGTCACTGCCGATTCTCGACCTATTCCCCGCATGTCTCGTTGCTGCTCTCCCGATTGCTGTCGTCGCCACCGCTGTCCACATCTCGATGGCAAAAATGCTAGCCAAACAGTATAACTACAAAATTGACGATCAACAGGTAGGAAAAAGTTTACGAAAAAATTCCGATAGTTGACGTTGTCTAGCCGGCACGCAATTTTACTTGCTATCCACGTTCTAGGAGTTGTATGCCTTGGGCTTCACATCTATTCTTGGCGGGCTTTTCCCGGTTTATCCAGTATCAACAGCCCTCGGTCGGACCATGGTCAATGTTTCCAGCGGTTCCAGAACCCAGGTGTCTTTTTTTGCACAAGCTTTTTGTCGTTACTAGATTTTAAACCTATTTAAACTTATTCCAAACTAATTTTTCAGCTCTCGACAGTTTTCTCTTGTCTCCTCCTATTGACGCTAATATTGTGGCTTGGCGTTCTCATCGAGCCGCTACCAATGGTAATTTACCTGACCATGTGTCGAAGAAAAAAAAATCATTTTAGTGCATCTTGGCGGCTATTATTACGGTCGCCCTGAAAGGAATGTTCCAAAAATGGGACGAGCTGAATGCTTTCTGGACGGTCAGCAAAATTGATGCGGTAGGAGGAGTGTAACGGAAATGAGATGTAACCCCCTGTTTAGTTCGTCTGGGTGTTCTCTTTCGTTTGCACGCTTTGTGTGGATGTCGTCTGGGGCTTGGCGGCTTCGATCGCCTTCTCACTGGCCATTTTGGTGGCCCGACTACAATGGTTTGAATTAAATATACGCATTTTAATATCAAAACTATACAAATTTTGATTAAAAAAATTTAATTTTAGGTCGAAAATTGATTTTTTTGATTTTTTCTCACATTTGTTGAAAGTTTTTCTATTTAAATAGAGTTAAAACTTACTAAAAACACTTGCTATTTGATTACTAGACTAACCGGACCGCCAGGAAAAAATTGTTCCCCGCGAATTCTAAAGAACCCATTCAATTTTTAGGCCCAGATGGCAGCATTTCTTCCAACCAAGCCTTGGAAAACCCGCAACATTTGATGGGCCTCTATCCATCTGCGTGCACAAATTCAACGCCCCTTTGGTTTTTGCCAATGTGGAACGGCAAGTTCAAAACAAATGAAAAAACGGGTAGATTTTAGATTTCAAAAGTCGATCGCAAAAATTACGGCCAAGTGGACCTGGGAACAACGACCACCAGTCATGGTGATCGAAGCAAAGGATGTCGAGAAGCCTGATCTCGATCTTTCAACCGTGCATCGGTGGGTATTACCCCGAATCCAAAAAAGATCATTAAACGGCCATCCCGTCGTAGCGCGCTATCGATGGTCTCATACCAAGCATTTTCAGGATCCTGGTTTTGGACTTCTCTGCTGTAAATTACATCGACTACATGGGAGCCAAAACATTGAAAGAGGTAATAAATTGCTAAAGCACTTACGGGGATCCGGATTTTGACTACAAGACGCTGCAAACGCCGTTTTTTTAAACTCTAAGTCTCTGGAAAAGTTAAGCTAATCCTAAGTCTAGGCTCAGCTTCATACAAACGAAGCCTTAGCTCTGCTGGAGCCAAGTTAAGCTTAGCTCTAAGCTAAGCCCTAAACCGCCCCCTTTTGACCTCGTCAGGCAATTTAAAGCTCGAGAGAAGCTTAACTTTGGCTTAAGATTAAGCCTAAGCTAACATAGTTAAAGCAAAGTAAAGCAAGTAGGGTAAGCGGAGCTCCTCGTAAGCGCTTACTACCAATTTCGGACTGCCCCCTCCCCCCTAACTGCATTAGCACCTAACGAGCCATAAACCCCAATCTCCTCAGGTGATTGCCGAGGCGAGAAGGTGCAATATCGTCATCTACATATCCGGTGCAAACGGTAGGATTGATTTGGAAGGAGCGTCTAGCTATGATTTAGGATCTATCCTGGATTGCATGGAAAAGGCAAAGATTACGCCAGACGAGATACCCGCCATCCACATCTTCCAGCAAATAAATCAAGCCTTTATATATGCAAAGAGCGCCTGGTTGGCAATCGATCATAACGAAGCTAATGAATCGCGATTTCAGTGAGCCGCAGTAAACCGCAACCTGGATACGAAACCTCCTAATATCAAAGCTTTATTTCGGCCCTCGCCACCAATAATAAATATCACAAGAAAAAGCGACTGACAAAGCACAACAAGTAACACAAAAAAGCTACCATTCTAATGGAAGTCCTACAACAAGCAAAAACTTATAAATTACGCCCGGATTTGAAGAGCAGTGGAGCGACGAGGTATGAAGAGTCGGATAGGCGGCGCGCTAAAATAAAGCGTTTATCAAAATATGTGGTCCTACTGCGCTGAGACCATTCGGTTAAAGCATCGATCATTTGAGCGTTCGACATTCCGCTAAAGTCGATCCTCCGTATGTAGCAATGCTGAAATGCATTTGTTCAGCTCACAAGGAGACTTTTCTGAGTGTCGTCCGGAATTTGGGATGGACCATGCCTGACTTGTGCCGAATTTTGCGCTGATTCCGAATATGGTTACCGTTTTTGCGGAATAGCCAATTCCCGAAATTTATAAACTATTTCAACCTAAAAACCCGCCCAAATTGGCTACTTTTGATGGACCAAAAAGCTTCGGAATAGGCTTTAGAAAAAATAATTAGCGCACCTTATTCAGAAAAAATTCTCGATAAAGCTACCCCATGCAAAAATCTGGAAATTTTGAAACATTTGATAAAATCCCATGTATAAATTTTTCGATTATTCAAAAATTTTCAAAAAAATCCGATTAATTTTTTAGCTTTAAATCGCTTATAACCTTTGAGAAACGGCTATTCCGCAAAAACGGTAACCATATTCGCAACAGCGCAAAATTCTGGAAACGATAGGCTTGGTCCCATCCCAAGGTCCGGACGACATTCAAAAACGTCTTCTTGTGAATCCCTCGTCTAAACCAGACCACGAATGAGTTTTCGGAAAGGCACGTAAACTTACAAAAACAATTTGCCGATTAGTCAGGGATGAGAAGTTGAGCACATGATCGAGACGTCGCAATGCCTCTGCACGTGTTTCCAGTCGTCGCTTCAGGCCGGGCAGCGGCAACGGGATCAAACCATGCAGCCTGGCGAGATCCGCCTAAATCTTACGATCAGTAAATAGTGCTCAAAAATACCGTTTTCGTGTTGTCGAGTTCTTTCAGCGCAGGCAGAGCCACATTTTCAATCTTGGCCTGTAAAGAAGTGAAGAAAATTGCAAACACGAAACCGTTTTCAGATCACCCAAGATCTGCTGAGCGGCCTTCTGCGACTTCTGGACTTCACTGGCGAAGAATTCAGAACGTTGCGCATCGGTCCAAAAGTGCCGTGTCAAGATGAGGCGCGGGAAGAATATCCTAAAAGAAGATATGACGGGCTAGAGGGAATTGGCACTGACACGGCAGCCCCCACGATGTAGACAGTCATGGGCAAGGGGAGTAACGCTGCAACCACCGCCAGTTTTGGGCCTTCGCTCGTGAACTGAACCAAGTCAGAGTTAGCAAAATTTCTGTTAAAATACATGGATCTGGACTGTTAACGGGGGGAACCAAATTTCCCTGTGGTTCTCTACGGCCCCATAACAAAATATAAACCATTTTCATAGCATTTTACATAGTTTTACGTATCAAAAATAATATAAATTTTAGAGTTTTTGGTCAAAAATGTATGAAAATGTTACAAAAAAAGCTGGAATTTTCGAATTTTCAAAATTTTTAACTTTCTAGCAATTACAAACTACTAAAAACACTATAAAAATGCATAATATATCATAAAACGTCCACCCCCCCCCCCGTTAACAGTCCAGAACCAAACACCTCAAATTTCGACACATTCTAGTACGTTGGTCTACCGCGTAGATATATTGCCGCCCTAATCCCGGTCAACGGCTGATTTGGCTAGACGTGGCATATAATCTAACAAAACTTCGTAATTTTCGTCTAACTGGCAAGATTGCGCGCGGGATATACAACCGATTTTCTGTGGCGACAAGGTTTCCTTAAAGTACTCACGCTAAGCAGATCAAGATTTCGCCAAGAAATGGTGGATCCAGGCATGCTACCAGGATCAGCAGATGACGAATTTCTTTTCCGGCCTAGAATTAGATTATTCGCAGCTGGGCCCCAGAATTAAATTTACAAACATCCTTTTTTAATGCTATCGGGGGTTTTGATTGCCGTGTCAGTGCCCATGGAATAGACCGGAAGAGAGACCACTTACAGCAAGAGAATCAGCACGTCACCGGGACCGGGAATTTGCAAAATTGTTACGAGAAAACTCATTTTCATCAGCTCGCGCCCGCTCTGCAACAAAATATCAAGGGCGGGAGACTCGCTTCAACGAGTCGCATGGTGTAAAATTTGCTGTGCATACAAAATTTCTAAGCACGAGGCAAAAGATAGCGCCGGTTGTTTACCAGGAACAATCGATGGAAAGCTAGTAAAATACCTGCACAAGCACTTCCAATTCCTCTACGGAGAGTTGCTCGAGCTTCCGACGACTCGCTGAGAGATCGCGACGCACGCGGATATATGTCTTCACGTCCGAGAAGCACCATTTTGAACCTGAAAAAACGGTTGTTTTTTTCGGCAAGACCCTCTTACCGTCCACAACCATCCTATGTATGGCCAAAAATTTGGGCCAGCGTCCGATGAAGCCTTCATACTTGTACATCAGTGATCCCTCCTAAAAATGTGGGTTCTTTAGGATAGGAGTAATCAAATATAAAGTGTTTTTACATGTTTTTGGTGATTTTAACTATATATAAAGTAGGAGATCTTACAAAAAAGTTAGAAAAGTGTTTGAAAAAGCCGAAAATTTGGAAATTTTTCGACCTAAAATAAACTTTTTAATTAAAATTTGTAAAGTTTTCAAGAACAGGAATAGTGAAAAACAAAGTAAAAAAATTTTCTTGCGCCGAAAAATTTATATAAAAACTCACCTTTGGTGGGCTTGGTGCAGGGCCTTTAGAAGTTTGACGAGCTGGGTTGAAAGATCCGCTTGTGGCCGTCAGAAGGCTGCGGGAGACCAATTGATTCGAACTCATTTGCTTCATGTGTTGGCACGACCCAATATATGGCGCGGCTACTCTAAAACAAATGAAATTCACAACGGAAGCGTTGGCCTAACCGATAAAAATGCATCCTCCGGACTAGCCTCCAGCGAACCCGCCGCGTCTTGTGGATGCTGAAAGAAATGTTATTGTCGGTATCACGCACAAATGTCGAAGGTCGAAAGCTACAAAAAAAAAACTGAGCTGGTTCTCAACACAAGGCTACGAAGACCCCCATGCGGTTTGGATATACAGGTCCCAAAAAATCGGCCGCCTCTAGCTGGCCGTAGAAAGTTCGGATCGGGATGATTTTTGTACCATTCGAAAGCTCTCGAAAAAGCGAGAAAACAAGTAGTTTTACAAAGTTTTTTAGCCCGCCTTGGTATTAAACGATTTCTTAAAATCGCGTCAAATCAGCGTCGTGCTGTTAGCTTGAACTGCGGATTTTGCATAACATCTGCAGTTTTCATGGATTTTGGTCCTAAATTTAGTGAATTAAAATGTCTATACTGAAAAACAAAAAGTGCTTTTTGTCTCACGGGCGCTGCATTTGACAACGCCTGAACTGCAGGATTCCTATTGCGCGCCCCAATGACCGTAACCCACGGCCCTGGGTTTACGCCGCGTAATGGGCCCCAAAACCCAAAACAAAGGCTAAGGCTTGCAAAACATATTTCTTTGTTCGTTTTAATAAGTATTTATTGAAAACAAAGTGTGTAACAACAATTTTAACCCGGAAGATCATAATAACTAGGGGTTGAGCTTTCTTTTCGCCGCTTTCGTTTGCATTTAGTGCAATTTTGCACATTCATAATTTTTTCTTCTACACTAGACTGCTACACACTCCTACACAGCGCCTAGAATAAATTTATTAGATAGAATTTATAGAATAATTGGTTTTGTTTAGATGTCCACTGATTGTCCCTGTTTCTCTTATAAGGCTGATCGCCCCTACATCCGAAAGGTGCACACGGGGGCTCAACCCCTAGTTATTATGATCTTCCGGGTTAAAATTGTTGTTACACACTTTGTTTTCAATAAATACTTATTAAAACGAACAAAGAAATATGTTTTGCAAGCCTTAGCCTTTGTTTTGGGTTTTGGGGCCCATTACGCGGCGTAAACCCAGGGCCGTGGGTTACGGTCATTGGGGCGCGCAATAGGAATCCTGCAGTTCAGGCGTAGTCAAATGCAGCGCCCG